AATCATTCAGATTCTATTTGAGAATACGGCTTTCAGAACATCTTCAGTCCAAAGTTTATGTATCATTTGTTTTGAACCATCTCTGGAATTCAGACGCAAGCAACTGTCCATCGAACTTCATTATAAAGTAATGTTCACTGCCCGACATCGGCGCCACTTGAATATTATTTTCTATGATAAGAACTGTGAAGGTGGTAATAATGCTTCAGTGACTAAACTGCAGTAGAATATTAGATGAAAATCTCTTCAAAATACTTTGAGCGTGCGTCCACCATATAGGTTAAGGAAGTAACTTGGAAGATCACTCTGTATTGCTGTTATTTCTCCGAATGTTGAACATTTCAGCATGTGAAATAAAACAAAAATTGCTCAACGCACAAGCATAACCACAACAGTAAATCGGCGATATTTATTTCGTGCATTTGTTGTGATGGTAATGCTGGTTAGCGGACGAAACGAAAGCAAATTCATAATTGTTTTTGAACCGGATATTCGTCAGATTGTGGAGTTGGGGGGTGGGAGTACTCTGAGAATTATGGTTTCATTGTTTGGGCGAAGAAAATGAAAGGAGTTTCGTTGTTTTTGATTATATAATTTAATATTTTTAATGAATTTTTCTTCGATGGCATGAACAGATTCGTAGAAGTCGCTAAGTTTGCTTTATTTATGATTCGATTATTTCGATACGATTTCCTGTAGTGTAGATACTTTATTCTTTTGGAACTTCTAAGCTAGTTACTTCATTATTATTGTCGTCAGTCGGTCAGAATTCATTGTCTCGTCTGCGATTTTATGAAGTCTGAAGAAATTTTACTTGCAGTTTCTGAGTTTTGTGTGAAGTGGAAATTTCGATCTCATAAAACTTCAAATGAATGAACAGTGTAAATGAACATTGCATCATTTAAATACCAGCTCACAAAAATGAGAGGCCATTTGCCTTTTAATTTATCATTACCTCAAAATTTTAACTACTTTAAATATAGGAAATTCGTATAAATATGCTGAAAATTTTGGAAACTTATTTGCGGTTATTTTACATTGGCATGTTACTATTTAAACAGATGTTTTGTGCCTACTTCTTGTAAAATATTTTTTCCAAATACTTTTGCATTCTGCATATGGCCCCAAGTTTGAAAAGTTTATTTCAAAGTGGGAAAAAAAATATTGCATTTTGCTTTTAGTGTATTTTTGAGAAATTTGATGGGAATCCATACTATCATTTGCCTTTTATCCAAAGATGACAAAATGTCAGTCAACAGAAATGTTTCTAATGGTGAGATTAAAATTCAAAATTAGTATTTTCTAGACTTCAATTGCACAGGATAATCAGTACACATTGATAATGTTTCATCATTTAATAAATTTAATCTTCAATTAGTCATTTACATAGTTGTATAGATAATTACTTAAACAAAATAGCAAAAGTGCTGTACTGTAATTTCTATTTTGGATGTGTAAAAATGCAAATTGTTCAAAATTACTTTAATTTTAAATGTTTGGATATTTTCATTAGCTGTGATTTTCATTTCATGAGGACCTAAAAACCCAGTTTCAAATTCTATATTTTAATTCAAATTCTATATTTTAGACTAAAAAATTAGTAACACGGACATGTAGTTGTAAAATGTGTTCCTTCAATTGTCAGCTTTTGGTACTCATTTTTTTAGTTCTAGATTTTGCTGAAAATTTGAAAATTTTCTGATTTTTATGCTTTAGTTTTGAGTGTTTGGTGTATGAGCAGTAGTTATGGGAGCTGTGATTAATTACTTTTATGTAAAGAAGTTTGAATGTGGGCATTAAAATGTTAACTTATTTAAAAATATTTAAATGTAAAAGAATTGTTTTTTCATTGGTGTTCTATGCGTTTATGTTGGGAGATACTAAAATATTTGAGAAATTTAATCAAAAATAAATCTTTCATCCTGATCCAGAGCTGCATCTCGACGGCTCTTTGATCCGTGTTGACCCAGAAGCAAAATTCCTAGGAGTTATTTTTGACAAAAAGCTCACTTTCCTTCCGCATGTCTTAAATTTAAAGAAAAAATGCACTAAAGCTCTGAGCATACTGAAAGTCCTTGCCAATACTTCATGGCGAGCAGAACATTGTTCTATGCTCCGCATTTATAGAGCTTTAATTTGTTCCGAACTTGACTGTGGCTGTGTTATCTATGGATTAGTAAGATCTTCTGTGCTACTGAAATTGGATCTAGTCCACCATCAAGCGTTATGTATTTGCTGTGGGGCTTTCAGAACATCTTCAGTCCAAAGTTTATATATCATTTGTTTTGAACCATCTCTGGAATTCAGATGCAAGCAACTGTCCATCGAACTTCATTATAAAGTAATGTCACAGGCCAAACATCCTGTCCAACTCATGACATCTGATCAGTACTGGCATCTTGACCAAGTACGTCCTTCATGTATCTCACTCACCTTTTGATCTTTGCATTCACTCACTGATGAAGAATTCAACCTAAATGATCTGCATCCCAAAAGCTTCGACCTTTTTCAGTATTGCTCCCTGGCAAGAAGTGAATATTCACCTACTTAACATTTTTGGAGAACTTAAGAAGAGCAGTACCAATGATGTGTAATATCAACAAATTTCCCTGGAGCATAGAAACAGTTATTCCAACTATAGAGCAATTTTTGCAGATGGCTCAAAGAATCATGATCATGTCGGGGCAGCTTTTGTCTGTGATAAAGTAATCATAGAGTAGCAAACTTCATAAGTGTTCATAAACTGCATCTTGTCTTTACTGCAGAAACTTTTGCCATTTTGAATTTCTTAATCTTATTTCTAAGCAGAAGTAGCAAAAAGTTCATCATCTACTCTGACTCCCTAAGTGCTCTTGATTCAATAAATACAAATACTGGCCACCCTTTGGTCTTAGAAATTTTAAAGGCACACCTCCGTTTGAGAAATGCAGGTTATTCTATTGCGTACTGCTGGGTGCCTCGACGTGCTGACATCAAAGGCAATGCACTCGCCGATGTCACAACGAACTTTGATGTTACCACTGAAAATGATTTCCCTTTTACAGACATACGGAATTACATCAGATTAAAGATCTTGTCCAGGTGGCAAGAACTCTGAGAATGCCAGACTCTGAACAAATTAAGGCAGGGAAGCGAAAGGAGGATGTACTGCTGACTCGCCTACGAATTAGTCACTGCAGACTGATACATCAGTATCTTTTGAAAGGAGGTAATGAGCCTATTTGTGGCACTTGCAACATTCCCATTTCAGTAAATCACATTTTAACCTGCTGTCCTACTTTTAGTGAAAAACATGATTATCGTTTTAACTCGACGAATGTTAACTTAACAGATCTCAGTGGAAGAAACCCTCACATCAACCTCATAAGATTTTTAAAAGATGTCTCTTTTTACCATATGATTTGAGTTATTTTCCTTTTATCCTGCTCTACCTGTTGCTAGAGCATTTCTCAGTCATTTCTCCATGCCTTCATCAGCATTTCATGTTCATTTCATCCATTCATTTGATACAGTGTGTTTGCGCATCTTGAATTTTATTCACCACTTGTCTGGCACATAATAACCCTCGAGGTTTTGTGCCATTAAAAATAAACCAACTAACCAAAAATAAATCTTGTTTTCTGTGAGTTCATGTATCTCACTGAAAATAAATTTATTGAGGAATTTAAGAACATTTAATTAGTTCGATTATTAATAAAACTGAATGTAACAATTATTTTCGTTATTTTTAAATGATGCAAAAGTCGTTTATTAAAGTATTGTAGAATTTGTTTTGACTATAAAATTTATATTAGCATAAAATTGTTTTGTTCGATTAAATTTTGAGATGTAATGTGCATGATTGAGCCATTGTATATAAATTCACATGCTGCTTTTTTATATTTGTTATGTTTATATCTTGAATAATTTTTAACAAATTATGCATCTTACAAGTGGCAAGTATGGTATATGACGGCGTATACACTCCCTTTTTTAGACACATTTTTGAAGGATAAAACTTTATTACTGATCATTATAATGAATTTATGGTGTTTTAAATATAAAGTAATACAAATATGAAGTAATGCTTTCTGCAGATACCCAATTTAATCTGGGAAAGAACACCTTTTCATCTTTAGTTAAAACCCAGACACTCATCTCCAGAGCTAAGTAAAGAGTCACTTAAAACCTCTTTTAAACCAGCATCTGAGTCTTTATACAACAAATTGTCCTATGTACCATCCACTACTTTACTAATACCATTTTTCTTAAATGATTTAACCACTCTGTTTTCGCAGCATCCCATGAAGCTTTGACCCATTCACTAACTTGCGAAATGCTAACTCCGAATAAACTGAGTATCAACATATAAGATGTACCTTATTTTTCAGACCTATTTTCAAAGGGGAAAAAAATGCATCATTATAATTATTAAATAAATTAAAGGTAATTAAAGTTGCAAAACAAGGGCTGCAGGATTTTCTGCTGATGGAATGAATTAGTCAAGTGTCTGTTTTTCTAATGTCTGCTATAAATCAGACCATTTCTGAAAGACTCTTCACAAAGGTGCTTTGCCTCAAGCAGTAGAGCACTCCAGCATTTTTTTATAATTACATTAACCTCAAGTTATTGCAGGCTTTCCCTTATTATACTGTGCTGACATATTTAACAAACAGCTTATTTGTCATAAGCTGTTAATTAATTTAAACAAATTAATCAGTGCCAGAGTAGGTAAAAACCAAGATGAAAAGTAATAATTTTATCTAGAATCCATACTCACAAAACAAGCTAGTTATATGAATGTGTTTATGCTTTTTATAATGCAAGATGGAAAAGTAAGCTATTATGTAAAAGAAAGAAGTGTTCTTCCGGAGGAGGGTTTTTGTCGAGTATTTGTATATGGCCTATTACTGTTGTAGTAATAAGCAGTGTTGGTTTAATATGTTAATTCAAAACAATTTGAAATGGAATTCATATGATTGATGCATTTTCTTTTGGTAAAATGGAGATTTTTTTTATAGATTTAAGTCAGGTATGGCCGACATAGAAAATAAGCCAAATGGGACCATAGAAGAAAATGGGCCTGTTGCCAAATATGATCCAGATGATCCAGAAAGTCAGAAACAAATGTGGAGGCCTCCAGATATTGACCAGGATATGAAAGAAATGGAAAGAAGGAAAAGGGTGGACATGATTATGAACAGGTTTCTTTCATTTATTGAATAGGATTCCTTTAATTTAGATGTATTAGTTTCTGTAGTAGTTACTGGAAAATAGGAAATAAGTTACTGATAAATCCATTTTTCATTTTGTTGATTTTAATTTTAATTTTTGTTTGCGAAAAGGTTTGTTCCCTTATTGAAGTTCATGGAAAGCATTTAGACAGCGTAAATAATAATTATTAATTTTGGATCTGAATTTTAGAATATGCTTGTTTTTGATTTACTTATAGAAATTTTTGAAAGTAGCTTCTAACATGTTGCAGTTTTGAAAATTGTTTTAAATTAGTGTTGTTAAGAATTAAATATTCATTTCAAAATATGTTCACTTAGAAATGTGCAGAGGTTTGGCTGAGTATGTTTATACTAATGAAGAGATGATTGGAGTTTGGTTATCTTAATGGTCTTGTCCCTATAGTTCATTTACCTGTTAATGGTTATTAACCTCTTCTGATTCTCTCTTCAACCAATTCTCCTGATTTTTCATCACATCTCCTGATAGGTCAGTCTCCTGGTTTTTAATTTTTAGCCTTAGTTGTGTCAAGTGTTTTTCAGCTGTACATGAAACATATTGAATTAATGAAACTTCATTCCCCTCTCTGAGTGATTTTAAGCTAATGTTTTCTTATTAAATTATCTTTGATGTAAATCGCCTTAATCTACTTTAGACATTTGTAGAACTTTATGTGAATCTTCAACCAGTATTTAATTAGTGAATATTCATATTTCATTTTGTTTTGCCCCAATATAATAGTAAATTATCCAGAAAATATAATGCATATGCAGTAGCATGTACATTAGTTTATATGCTGTGATGATTTATGTATTTAAATGTACTGTCGAGAAAGCCCTTTTCTGTTAAGAATTTTCTCAGTATAAAAATGTACGGAAATTATGAAAAGAAATTAGCCAAAGGCCATAAAATTTAAAATATTTAATTAAATATTAATATTTTTAACATCAGAATCACATTATAAAGAGTGCTGTAACCTGAATGATGCATTATGAAAGGAATTTAAGTCAGGTTGGAGTACTTTTGAAATGGCATTGCATCACAGTAGAAAACCTACCAGAATGATATTTTATACAGAGGCCTCTTGAGATTTCATATTTCAAGGTTGGCAGCTATGTTAAGCTCTTCTGTGTAAGAAAGTGAAACAGGTATTTTACGTGGACTTGTTAACGGCATTTTGCAATAAGTATTATACTATCAGCTTAATAAAAAATGTTTCCAATAGCTTTTGAAATTATATCTACTGCACCATATAAAAATCTACCTGATAGAAAATGCCCCACTATGAAGGAATGATTGGAAAAGGAGCAACTTGTACGTCTGTTGAGCAAAATAACCAAGGGCCATAATTAGTTGCGATTTCAACATCTTCCATGTACCTAAAAGATTCCACTGCAGCAGAGATGTTTTCAGAAGAGGTAGCTGTGCTCACACATTGTCAATCTGAATTGTACCTCTGAAATGCTATGCTTTCATTCTTTATTTCTGTCATTTAATCAGATCTCAGTATAAAGTGAACAACAAGCCTTATTATCATTGTGTTCTTAATTGCATCATTTCCACAGATTAAATTCTGATATGGATATTTCTTCGCATACCCTAAACATTGCTATCATCTGATTATGACCATTTCACCAAGGAGCTTATTGATTTTAATTTCCTTTGACTTTGTGCTGTATTTTTGTATACAAAATTCAAAAGCATCAAATACCAAAGAAAATCGTACAAATTATAAAAATACCAAAGCCTTTATTTTCCTATTTCAATTTTACCAGTCATGTTTTCTTTTTAATATCCTTATCTATCTGTATGGTAAATTGTTCTGTTTCTGCTCATGTTTTTATTAAGTACAGTGTGGAGGTAGTTGGAATCTTTTCAAAAGGCATTCCACAAATAATAATAATTAACTTAGTCCTTGGTCTTTGTATATTGACAGATAATCAAGCATTTAACAAATGATTTAATTTTCAAAGATTTATCTTCAATTAGTTGCATTTGCGAAGTGTTAAATAGCAGTAACTTTACGCTTTCGAGATATGTTCCTGGTCCATCTTTATTTCAGACATTCCTCACCATGAAATTCACAGAAAGACACATGTTTAGAACTACAGTATGGCTCGCTACAATATACCATGTTACTATGTTACTTTAAGTAAACCGCGACACGTTTTAATAAAATACATTTTTTGTAAATAACAAGCCACGTTACAAATAGTGAACGTATAGCAAAAGTGTAGCAGAGTGCGAGCGCCACCTAGTGATGAATTTCGCAAAAGCCAATGAAAACTGGGAACCAGAATTTTGTTCAATCTGGTAGGCCTTGAGTATCAACAAAGAAGCTTCACGAGTTTTCTTACCGTGTGTGAAAATGAAAAGTTATAAGTGTTCAAAAAGCATAAATTACTCGTTTGAATTAGACACGCGATTCCTAATCAGAACTGAAAAATTGTAATGTCTAAGGCTATTTTTTTTAACAGGAACACTAACTTGTATTGATTGTAACAGCAGTAAAAGTTTTTTAATATTTTAATTTTTCTTTTAGTCAAGTATTTCGGGAAGAATTGGAGCGTATTATAGAATCACAAATTAATGAAGGTTATCTACCAGCCAACTTAACTGCTTTACAACAAGTGACAGAACTACTACTACCTAATCGCCGCTCTTCAGGTTTTCGATCTGGACATTGTGTAATTCCTATTAATGATATTAGAGGAGTTGATGGTATTCGTTACACCAAAATGGAAAAACTTCTTCGTTGTAAATTGGCAGCAGTTTACCGACTGATTGATCTATATGGATATTCTGAAAATATTTACAATCATATTACAGTAAGTCTGATTTTACAATTTGAACTTTTGATACATTTCAATAAATGAATGTCTGTATACATATATTGTATAATTTCAGGTTCGTGTTAGTCAAGATTTGGAACACTTTCTTCTCAATCCGTTCGGTCTGCAATATCCTGAAGTTACAGCCTCATCTTTGCTTAAAGTTGACATGCAAGGCAATGTAGTAGATCCTGGATCTACTTCATTTACTTTCAATAGAGCAGGTTTTGTTCTACATTCTGCTGTACATGCTGCACGTCCAGATGTCAGATGTGTAATTCATATTCATCATCCACCATGTGTTGCAGTAAGTTTGGATAGCTTATAATTTAGAAGGGTGAATTTAATATGAAATAATATAACCTGCAGTTAATGTGAAATAATAAGTTTTCTTTATCTTATTACTCTGAAACTATTAAAGCTAGAAGCATAAGAGATTAGTATATTAGGAGGCAAGAGTTTAAAATGTAAGTGCATAATAACCATTTTTGTTTACCTGGAAAATGGAAGATGGCAATGATGGGGTTAAAATGGGTCCTGAAATTGTTTAGGGATGTGATTTGAAAACTGCATTACTCAGTGCAATAAAGGTTAAAAAAATTAAATCTACTATTTCTACTTGAATCTTTTTAGACATTTGTGGCTGGATACAGTATCAAAAATTCTACTACCCACAAAATATGTTCTGCCATCAGCAGTTAAAAATTTAAAAATGTTTTTAAAAAGTCTCAAAAGGAGTTAGAAATACGAATTTCTTTCATGTCTGAATTTGTAAAACTTGATAATCTTAATGGGCAGGCAGAAAACAGTTTCTTGGTTATCTCTAAGTGTAGCTGAGAAAATGGATGTTTGAATTTTAATTCGATAAGTTTTTTTATATTATCTGCATGAAACCAGTTCCTTAATTTGGTTTGTGAAAACTTGAGTATGTTGGTTATTATTAGTGTCTTTTCTGCAACAAATTGTAAACAACAAATAAACTTTGTAAGAGAAAAGATTTGAATTCAGTGAAGCAATTTTGAAAATTTATCTTTGGCTACTTTTATGTTGAAGATAGTTATATAATGTAGTTAAGATCCCATAGCTTGTTTTTAAGCTTTTCAAAATATGTTGATTCCTATCAAATGCTAAATCATGGTAATTATGTTATTAGTGCATCGACCTTCCATTCAGTAACTAATCTAAACTAGTTGTAAAATGAAGTGATGTGAATAACTTGTCTGTCTTAAATTAACTTATTGACTTGGGGATAAAAGAATTGATACTGGTCAAAAAATGAAGAAAATAAATTTAAAATTTTAAAACAACACTTCGGTAATTATGATCCATGTGTTTGAATATTGCAGGTTGAGCTCTCAAAACATTAATTCATTTGGTACTAAATGAATTGTTCTCTAGATCAGTTGTTTCAGGAGTGTTTTATGCATAACATAGAGATTTTTAAAAGGCTGTTACGAATTTAGCTGAAGTTTTCATATACCATATTTGCCGACGTGTAAGACTAACTTTTTTCTTTGAAAATCTGAAAAACTGGTTGCATCTTATACATCGATATTAAGTTTATTCGGAGCTATGCGTTTTTTTCCCCTGTGGAGTGTGGGAATATTATAGTTACGTATTGTTCAGTGAATATGCATGCAGTGTCACTGACGATCACTGTTGGGTTCGTTTAACGTTTCATTTTTTAAGCCTGTGAAATTTCTGCTGTTCAATTTTCTTAAATTTATTATAAAGTTATGACTTAAAAACAAGTCAGCATTGCTGTAACATAGCATACAAGCTACGTGTGATTGTGTATGCTAAAGAACATGGAAATGAGACTGCAGAGAGGCATTTCGGACCAACTCCAACTGAGACAATGACAAGAACTTGGCAGAACTGGGAAGATGTAGTAATTCACTGAATGGTACCAAGGACAGTTTGTTGTATGAGGACTCTGATGCTAATTTAGAAGAGGTTTCAAGTGACTCTTCATTTAACTCTGCAGATGTGTTCTGGGTTTTGACAAAGAGAATTAAAAAGTTTTCTCTCCCAGGTATATTGGGTATTTGTAGAAAGTATTAATTTGTATTACTTTATATTTAAAATACTGTAAATTCATTATAATAATCAGTAATAAAGTTTTATCGTTCAAAAAAGTGTATACAAAATGGGGTGCATCTTATATGCCGGCAGATATGGTAATTATAAAGTGCCAGTGCCCATTGCTTGCTAAATGGAGCAGTGGTAGTTCATCCAAGGATGGTGTGAAATAAATTTGCCTGCTGGGTATTTTTATGGATTTACCCATGTGTAATGTGAGCATAAGACAATTTGTGCTGGAAAGTACTCCACAAGGGCGCTCTTCACTGTAGGCAAATAACCTTAGTGTGCTTTTTCATAATCTAAGAAATTAATCCTCGATAAGTATAAGTATGAGCTCTTGTATTAAGTCAATTGAATCACCATTACTTATGGTAGAATTTAATCTTATTCTTAAGACAAACTTGAGCTAGTGGCAGATATTTAAGCATTTGATTGGATATACTTAATATTGAATTAAGAAACTGAATAGTGAGTGCTAGGAAAGGAAAATTTTAAAAGATGTACAATTTTCTTAGGAATGATGTAAACTACATTTTTCAAATATTATAGTCTTCTTAAGTATTATAAAACAGTGGTTAATTTAAGAAAAATGTAAGAATATTTGTGCTACATTTGAAAAAGGTTTGAATTAAAAGATATTTCATTCTAAGTCATGTGCAACTAATCAACTGTAAAACAGGAAGTGGGAATATATATATACATACTTGTTTAATATTTTAATTATTCAAACCTGTAATGCCTTAAATAAACACATTGAATTGGCCCTAAAAAGTACTGGTACACCAGTCTAAAACTTAATAGGTCCTGCACTGGAGTGTAAAACTACAGGCAAATTGCTATCATACTCATATCCCCTCCTCCCCAAAAATCTGTAGACATTAGAATATCATATTTCCTGCAGAATGATCTGTTTGCATGACATCCCTAATATTTCTAATATCATCGAGATCTGATGAATTAGATAGCCATGACAAGCTGAGCACTCCTTTTTCCATAATCTGGTATGTCTAGACTTGTGAAGTTGTATTTTGTCTTAATAAATGTAACCTTATCATCAGAGAAAATGCAACTCATCAAAAAGGATGCTGTCTCTGAAAGAATTTTATTATGTCAAGATTTCATTGAATGCCAACTAAAAGAAACATTGTCATTACAGAGCAACTAGATCCTATGCAGTCTGCTGTTGCATGTGAAATTCATGCATGTACAGTTTTTTTCAAATACATATCCTCTCATCAGCTTGCGACAGTTGAAAATGTAAACTGGTCAGACTAGGCTACTCATGTCCAGTTATCAGGTGTCTAGTGTATGAATTTTCGTGCCCATATAACGTATGTCGACCTGCCATTTATTCATTAGTGGGTATAAGATTAGATTTTTGCTTTATAAAGCTGGTATAGTGAAGCACAAGAAGAGGCTGCTGCATAGTACTAACTGTGATATCTGTTGAAACTTAAAAGCATTGAATTCCAGTTTTACTTAATAATAAAGTAAAATGTTTTTTGACAGCTAAAGTGGTATTTTTATTCACTGTCTTAAGGCCATTCTGTGGTACGTTCAGTTTTGTTTAAGTTCTTCCAATCATGATTACTTCCGAAGTTCGCATATGTAAAAAATCTCGACTATACCTCTAAAATAATGTGAAACTTCCGCCACTGCCTATCACTTTATATTGAAATAAGTAGATGTGAGTAGTGACATGCGTAGGTAACATTAGTGTATATTGTACATAGGCTCATCTGTACCAGTTTTTCTGCCACTTCAGTGAATAGTTTGGTATGAGAAAGCTACACATATTTAAGTTTAAACATAATTAAACTTTTTTAGTTATATGCAGGGAGTTATATGCAGTTGCCTTAAAGTCAATATTAATGTGAATTTTTGTATTTTAGGTTTCTGCTATGAAGACGGGTCTACTGCCCGTTTCGCAAGAAGCAGCATTAATTGGAGATGTTAGTTACCATGATTATCAAGGTATTCTTGTGGATACTAATGAGCGAGAGCAAATAGCTAGGGATCTTGGACCTGTCAATAAAGTTAGTAGGGATTTTTGGTACATTTTTTAATAGGTTTTGATGAATATTAGTTAATGAACTTTTATTTTAGGTTATGATTCTGCGAAATCATGGAGTTATTGTTTGTTGTGAATCAATAGAGGAAGCCCTTTTTTATCTACAGAATCTTGTATTAGCATGTGAAGCACAGGTTTGTATAATTTTCAATTAGTCGGTTTATGTAATTTTAATTTGCTCATAAGGCCAAAAATAAAAGAGAACTTCAAATTTTATCAAATGGTTTCAAATAATAAATTGCATTAATTCTTCACTGAAGTAAAATTTATTTTAACTAAAAGATAATTATTTGCTTCTTTCAAAATATTGATAATTTTTGTATAATAGGTGAGACTGATGCCTATTGGGTTAGAAAATATTCAGATTATGAGTGAAGAGGCTAAACAGAAAGTTAGAAGTATAATTACAGAAAATCATGCTGAGGTTACTGGAAAGCCTGATGGAGCTGTTGAAGAGGATAAAGATACAAAAGTAAAAAAATTCAAAGTTTGGGATCTGGAATTTGAAGCCCAAATGAGAATGCTAGATAATGCAGTAAGTTTTTTCTAACATGTATTTTATATTTTCTTTCTTAGTAATGCAGGTGTCTTGCAAACAAAAATATTTAAGTAATATAAACTGTAAATTGCTTTGTGGCTTTATCTAAAACTGGAAATCTTTGTTTCAATCCTAAGAGCTATAGGAATAATGCAGATTTTTATGTTTAGGGCTTCCGTACTGGTTATTTGTACAGATATCCTTTAATAAGAGTGGAAGTTCCCCGTCAGAAGAATGATGTTGAAGTTCCACCGTCAGCCACATCATTTGCTCAGTATTTTGAAGAGGACAAATGGCTTAGGTATAATCTTATACTTCTAATCAATTTCCCCTTTAAGGCCATGTTATGATAATGCATATTAATATCCCTTTTGCAAGATAATGCCAGTTTGCTATTGATATGTTGGTATTTTTTTTCAGTCCTTTAAGAAAACTTATGGAAGGGAAAAAAACACATGAAAAATTAAGATGGGTGAACTCTCCTAACGTTTATCAGAAAGTTGAAGTTTTGGAAACTGGTACAAATGATCCAAAAAAGATAACCAAGGTAATTATATACCATTGGAAATTCAAGTTTGAGGCAGTTAAATTATACATAGGAAATATAAAAGATAATTTTGTGTTTTCCCCATTTAATGTGTTATTCTGCCAATTTTTTTTAACATTTTGATATTGAAATTAACACTGAAATAAAATTTATGTGTTTTATGAAGCTTTACTTTTTGTAACATTATGCTGTTTTACATTTCTCTGATATTGACACATAGGAGACTTACCCCTAGATAGTTAGTCTTAGCTGAAGCATAGTTCTTAATAGTTCAGAATACACTAGCTTGCATCTTTTGAGATGTGGTCCTTGATAATGCATTTTAAGTTTCGGATATTTTTATTTTCTTACTCATCTCCAACTGTTCAATATAGAAGTCATTTTAAAATTATAGCTTAATTTTAATTGAAAGGTAAAAAATGCATTTTTTGCACATTAATTTTGGGTAAGGTAAAAAATGTATTTTTTGCTTAAAATGGAGTTAATATTAACTTTGGGTTAAGTTAACAGCTAGGGCTAAATTTATTCTTGGTAAAAATATTTTACATTTAGAATGGATCTTTCATATTAGTTTTGTTATACCATGAACTAAACGTTCTGCTGCAACTTTTCATGTGTCTAAAATGTTAGTAAATAAAAGATTATTTATCTCAAGCAATATAATTAGAAAAGGGATATTTTAAATGTTTTCTGTGGAATTTCACTTTTTAATTTTGATGATAATTTAATAAAAGATAACTTAAAAATGGCCATTTAGTTTTAGGGTCCATTAGTTCAGTCCATATACTTTAGAAAGATCTGTTAAATACTGGATCAGATTTTAATTGTAAAATTCTTTCTCCACTGGTAATTTGAATGAAAGTGAGAGTCAAATGAGGGAGAGAATGTTTACCTTCTTGATTAGAAAAAATACTTAAATTAGAATTCTATGATCTAATTTCATTCTGAATATGGGCCAGAGAATAAGAAGTTGATGGCAAATCAATGTGAGCTACTTTTCAATTATGTAGAGTATATTAAAAAGTTTAATATTGCTGAAATCTCTCATTATATGTAGATAGAAATAACCATGATTAGGACTGCTGGCTATTTGGTGACTGTCACTTAAAATCTGCTCAAGCATTACAGTCTTTGCAAAGAGCTCTGAGTGGGTGTAGCAGCTTGGCACAGTCTTTTGATAAGAGGGTTTTTTTTATATAGTGATGACTTAAATCCAGGTTTTTAAATATATCAGAGAAAACTACTTTCCAATATTAAATAGTCCATTACAAGCTGAGATCTCATAATGCTATGAGCATTAGCTTAGTCCTATGCTGTTAGCATTAGCTCACAGGTGGCAATCCATGAGAATTTTTAAATTAATGCATATGCGGTGACATGACAGTCCTGCTGCTTAAATCCACTTTATACTCTGCATTATATGCAATCCTGAGCTCTGCTGTCACTTTACTGTGTATAAATGCTGGACAAGTTGTTGGTCCTCCAATAATGTACATTATTTTTTTTTTTTTCAACCAGTACTGGCAGCGTTCTTGTTTGCAGCCCTAGTTTGATGGAATTTTATCTGCAAATTCTTTCACTAGATTGATTACATCTGATCCTTTCTATTGTATGCTATATAATATATTGAAAAATCTTCAGTACTTAGTACTGTTTCAATACTTTTCATAAATGATGTCACTGCATTATCCCTTAACGCCATTCCTAAATGATGATTTCCAAATGTTGTGCAGTTTTACTTCTAAATGAAGTTTTACCTCCTTCATTCACTCTTAATATTGCAGGTAACGAAAAACTAAATTTTTATTTGCCTGATTACAACATTGTCATATTACAGCACAACTGAATGCATATTAGATTCTGCAAAATGTTAGGGTGGTGAAATTGTTTTTAACATTTCTCTGCATGTATATGTTTGCAAGCATTTGTATGCATATAAATCCCCATTACAATTTCATTAAAATGGTTATCTTCTTTTTTAAACATTGTTCTGTTTTGGGTATTTTCTTATTTACATTATTTCTCAATCCAAAAAGCAGCAAAGAAATGGGAGAATTTCAATTCTGAAACTTCTGGAGAGTTTATCGGAAAAGATTGTTTGATGAGTTAACTGCAATAGGCATTTAGTAATTTTATTGTAAAATCTCCTTTGAGGTATAAGATTGATCTTTAATGTTCAGTTGTGTCTCATCTCCTTCAAATCAAAGCTTAGACAACTGATTTTTTTTTCCGACTTCTCTTTTTGTTCTTAAGACACACATATAAAGTGTGTATTTTACATATGCTAAGTAATGTATGAATAATAAGTGATGCTGCTTGGTTTTTGCCATATTTGCTTTATGCAATTATGTATAGAACTCTTCAGTTGATGGATTAATCATGTTAAGTAAGATTTTCATATGTAATGACAAGTTTGTTATGGTTTCTGTTGATTAATGAGATAATAAATGGCTGGTAACTGTAATGGCAATGGATATGTTAAAAGAAAGGATTAACTTTCTGATATGTATATTAAAATGGTACTTCTGTATCTGAAGAAATTTCTTCTTAAAAGCATATACACGAAGTCATCATTACTTAATAGAATTATGGTTTTCTCCATATAAAATGAAGTGAACATTAAAAGTTCATTCAGTATTATTAAAATGTTAGAATGGTCATATGCTGTTATATTTCTGTGAACAAAGTTAAAAATTCTGTAATAAATGAAAAATATATTTTCAAACTGTAGCTCTGTGTAACAAAAAATGTTTTAATTTTTTTAAGCAAGACTATTTCAGCAATATGATCTAGAAGTATGTTTGGCCAGGATAGAACATTTGTATCTTGTCACTGAATGTCATCTGTGGCACTATATCTGAATTGGTGCTGTTTCTTATATTTGTTATGAATATATGTGTTTTACTATTTTCAGTCAGAATGAAGTCCCAGTGATAAATGTGCTAATTTGCATCATTTGAAATTTAAAAAATGCCCGCCAATGGCTGAGTGGAAAATACTACTTGGTTTACTGCTCTTAGTAGTTTGGCCCTGATTAAAATCCTGGCAAACAGGCTGGTTGCATGGGCGGGTTCTCATGTGTAATTCATGTGTAATATGAATATGAGCCTGTTTCCGTTAGAAGCTCTCCATAAAGGCATCCCCCTTTCACAGATAAGCCCAAATATGCTTTACTATAAATTAATAATTCTAACCTTAAAAACATGTTCATTACCAAGTTACCTTAACATTACGAAGCTTTGTGCAGAGATATTCCTTCCCTTAGGCAGATGGTCTTGGTCTGCTTTTGCTGTATTCAAATAAAGAAGCATATAGCAAAGGTCTAGTTATAGTTTGTAAATACTGTCATGGAATGTTTGTTAGCTTATACTTTTTTTGAAAAAAATTAGTAAATGAAGGATTTATAATTATGAATTTACAAATTGAGACATTTGTCAGACTGCATAGCAAACTTTTTTCCTATGAAAATAGAGGAATTAATGCTAGCTTAATTATAAATAGTTAGGTATTAATATTTTAGTAATGAGATATCTTTATGTAGTTTTGCTAAAATGTTTTTTAAAAATTAAGTTGTTGACTTGATTGCAGTTAAATAAAACTCAGAGTGTTGTTATATCCTGTTGACCTGCTTAGTGCATCAAAAAGTAAATTTTTGCCACTTCTGCGAATTTTGAATTACTCTGATAAAAAGAAATAATTTTATGATTCCCCCCCCGACTGAACAACCAAAAACTCTTTTAGGTGGTGAGCCTGGGTAAATTTTGCATTCTAATTAAACCCACAGTGCCTTGAAAGGTTGGAGTGGTATAAGTATGAGAGTGCTGCTTATGCAGTTGGTACATAAATATGATAAATGATTGAAAAGGAAGTAATCTCTCTAAATTAAATCTTAAAAAAAAATATACTTGCATTATGTATGAGTAGAAATTGGTCTAATATAATCTCCATCATCAACATGACCTTTTGTCATCCAAGTAGCTGGTGGTGGTTACCTGTCCTGTAAAAATGTGGTTTTATAATGCAAAAATTGAAAAAAAAAATTAAATAAAAAATAAAAAACTATTTCAATTTAATTTTTTTAACATCCCAGGAAATGCTGTGTTGGTCAGAAAAGGCGATACTCTGTAGAAACAGTGCCTGGAGGGTAAGCTGAATGTTCCAGCAGTGTTCAGTTCTAACCTCTTGCTGTCAGTTACTCTTTTTATCTCTCTGTCCTGCTGTAAGAAATTGCCATTGTGATAGAGCAGTACTGGTTATTTGAAGGCTAAATTGTACATATACTTTGTCAAGGTGAAGCAGCGTATGCCAGCAGTGATTACTGTTGTTCAGCAAAATAGGTATCTTCCATATCCCACTAAAGTCTTAAGTGGAGATGAGCCTGCTTTAGAAATTGCAAAGGGCTTAAATCACTGTTTCAGGGACTTTGCATTGTCATACAGAAATCCCTCCATTTTTCATTGCATTTCGTAGTACAGTCCAAGAATTTGCCATGTGTCGGTGGTGAAACATATGCCAGTCATGATTCATTTTCTATTCAAATGTAAGTTTGTTGGGTATGTAAAAACTAGATCACATTAAACGTGTGGAGGTACATAGCAGTTGAATGTCATGTAATTGATAATTCATTGGCCAATTGTGATAGAATTTGAAAAATTGGAGTTTCTGCCTTTAAATTGCTTGAATCAAAGATAGCACTGTAGTTGTGATATGGCATTAGTATATGTAATAGTGATGTTTGTAAGCATTTATGGGGATGCAGTCCTAACTAAGAGAGGATACAGTAATGATTATATAATGCAAAAAGAAAAAAGTTCCTAGTTCACTTCCATGTTAGCTGGCACTTCCAGTTCTTTCTTTTCATGGTCTATTTTGTTTTGATTTAAATCATTCATCTCATTATATAATGTGCTGTTTCATGTCACCATTTATGTGCATCCTTATTTTCTTTGGTGGCATTTGAATTGAGTTATCTAGTCATCCGAGGCTACTTTCTTTGCGGCCAGTGATGTTTAGGAAAGATCATGTAATTTTTGTTTTGTTTCTTCACTATTTGAACACAGTTAATTAAAGAGACCTATAAATTGGTACATTTCAATAACTTTCAAAATAAAAAAATATCCTAGCCGAATTGCAAATTTATGTGTGTAAGATAACTGGATATTTTAACCATATATATAAGGCAGAGGTGAAATCCATGTTAGGAATTTCTGAGCACTAGCTATATTTAAATTACTTAAGCTCATACCATTTTAATCTGTAAATTTCTTTCAGATTTAGAATTTTGTGTAACTGCATTTTATATATAATTGCTATTTTAGAAAATTTGATTTGTAAATTTCTGTTGCAGTTAGTTTGGTCTTGGGGTTTTCCGAGTTATGTATAAATGGTGCATGTCAGTCAGTTAATAAACTTAATGAGGTCAATATTCTGTAAGCAGATAACTCTTTAAAATATTGAGTATGAAGAAGTTAATTATGACATACTTTAAATTCTATATCAAGTTAAGCATTTTTTTACATGTATTAAATTTTGGGCTCAGATTTTCAGTTTGTCGGGTCACTTCTAAATGAGTACTGGTTGTATAAGAATACTTTGTGAAGCTGCAAGAGAGAAGATATGGTTGTTTTTGTTATGGGACATTTTAGTGCTTTTGAAATGCAAGCAAATTTTAGCACCATTAATGATTGGTATTAGATAAAGTATACTTCCTTGTAAATTAAATATGTGCTTAACACTATTACTGCTGTGGCAGCTTGTCATAACAATGCATATTTTGTGGAATAATTAAGAGCATTCAGTTTAAAACATCTTAAATTTCTTATTAAGCTATGAAACAAGCTTAGTGTAAACAATTCAGCATTTTGTCTAGTGGTAAATATTTTATTATATCTATATTTGTAATGTAGACTAACAAGAACATGGATAATAATTTATATGTTAACAGCATGTAATAAATATTCCTATCAGGTGCTGTCAGTATGTTACCTAGATTAAATCAGGGTTGCCACGCTACCTGGAAAACCAGAAAAAGTCAGGGAATTTAAAAATTGACCAAATATGTCAGGAAATTTAAATATTATAGTCACAAATCTGGAAAAGTTGGGGAATTTCATATGGCGATTCTATAAAGAAAAGCGAGTTTTGCATCAGCATTGGAAACAACAACTTTCTTGACGAATAATGTATTGCATGAGCGTCATTCGGGCGGCTGGCATAGAGCGAATTTTTGCAGCTAAATATGCTGCTAATAAATATAAAATACCTGAATTTATTTTAAAGTATCATTAAATAGATTTTTTTCATATAGCTGCAAAATATCAGGGAGGGGGGAAAAATTCAGTTCATATATTGTCAGATTCTAATCTCAATCTTCAGTGGAGGAAAACAACTTTTAGTATAGTTATAATAATAATGCTTTGGGGATTATATATGTCATATGTAAATAGCAAATTTTTGTGTTTTCTTTCAAGTTATACTATAATTAATTTACCTCTCAGCACAGCCAACGTGCACTACGCAGATAGACTGGAATTTTCTTAAAACATACCTGGAAAACCTGAAAAAATCGGGGAATTTCATTCTTTTGTTTGAGTGGGAACTCTGTTAAATAATAGTGTTTCTTGTATGTGAAATAATAGTGTTTCTTGTATGTGAAATAACTTTGTGTGTGATAGCAGTTTATGTAATTTATTCATTTGGTTGATTTACTTAAATTTATTAAATTGAGAGCATTTTCACCTTTCTTTATTAGCATTGGCAATTATACATTGAGAATATGCTTCTATGGCAGTTGTGACATGTTATTATAAATATTAAACAGGGGTATAATATATTATGTTTATTTTGAATTATGGTTGTGTAAGGGTGTTTTTCTAAATGATAAATATTTAAATGTGTCTATTGAAATTTTTAAGGTTATTTTTTTATGTATTTTGTGCAATAATTTATTCAATAAGGTTTTCACTTAAGTTTGTTTAAAATTTTGTCTGGCATTCTAAAATTTTCTTTTTATTCCTACAGTGGGTCGAAAAGCCAGATATTGGGGACAATGATTCTGTAAGCCCTTTATCCAATCCAAACATAACAAAAATACTGCTCTTTGCAATTCATTATGCTACTGCTTGAATGACATTCTTTAATTTTAGTTAAGGTATAACTTGAAATTTCATGCTTTGGTTTCCATCTGTATAGAAATATTCTCCACAGCATGCTCTGTTCTAAAGAGTGTTTGAATGATAGTATCTTGGCCTATGTTTTAATATTTCTTTAAATGCTGGTGTTCAAGCTCATGATTTGAGTAAATTAGAAAAAGTTAATTTGTTATTATAACAAATGTTTAATCTTATGGCTAACAATCATAAGTCTGAAGTGCAAGAAAGTTCATGGAATTACAAATATGAACTTACTCTGATAAAATTAAAACTGCAATTTTGCTGTGGTTTTGTTTTTAAACAGTGTAGTTTCTAACAAATGCAATTCTGGAAATAACCTAAATTAAAGTTCAAATTGCATGCCTGCTTTGCTCTGAACTAACTGGGATGGTTAATGGTTATTGCATGAAAATTCAAAGCTTTATCTGCCTTTATGTGAAAAAGAACTGAGTGCAGCTTTTGTGTTTCAGTGGGTTCAAGAGGGCTCACCTTCTCACAGCACTCTTGTGAAAATTGAGAGCCCCCATCAGTTTATACCAAAAACGGGTGACCCAAATGAATTTAAGAAGAAACAAAAGGAGGTAACTATGACTGTTTATTATCTTCTTCTTTAGTAGTAAACTGTGTACTTTTACATTATCATTCTAGCATTCATGCAAATTTTTATGCCCTAGTCTGAGTATCCGTTGATCACTAGTAAGCCCCTGATTCTCTAATGAATCGAATATGCAAGTGTGTGAAACATTGCTGTGGTATATGAATTGCTTGAGAATGAACATGGAAGTTGTGTAGGCATTTTGAGACTTGGCAGTAAGATTAAATAATAGATAAATAATATTTAATAAAGATTAGATGAAGATAGATAAATTATTTTACAACTCGAACTTTGTGCAGCAGTGGACAGTAAATTTAACAAAATAAAATCAACTTATTAATCAAAAACTTCAATATTCAGTGTTTTAGGTAAAAACATTTTTAAATATTTATCATTCTTAAACATTAGTAAACATATTAGTAAACATTTATTATTTTTAATTGTATACCTGCCACACCCCTTTTTTTAACTTTCCCTTTTCTAATATAGAATAAATTACACTTGTAAAATTAAAGTAGTTAATACTTATAATTATACTACACTCATTTAACATAGCATAAGTTTATAGCATAAGTTTTATTATATATCAGTAATGCAATTACTGTATCATGTATAGACAAATTACTAATTAAAATTACATTTACAATAAATTATATTTAATAAATATTTTTATTTAATCAGCCCACCAGCGGCCGAGCGGTAAAGTCGCTGAACACTGGTAGTTCGGTCCGAGTTTCGAATCCGCGAACGGGCTGGCTGCATGGGTGTTTTTTCGTGGTTTTCCCCATGTGTAACGTGTATACGAGCCAGTTTCCCTTAGAAAGTCCTCCACGAAAGGCATCCCTCCTCTTAGGCAGATAGCCCTAGTGTGCTTTGCCATAATTAAATACACCATTTTTATTTAATTTACATATAATAAAAGGAAGTCTGTCTGTGTCTTTAATTCGTACTGCACGTCAGCTAATAGACCCAGGGCTACGAAATTTGGTACATACGTGCATTTAGACAAGAGCCAGTGCACCTCGAAGCTAATTTTTTTAATTTGAATTTTTTTATTTATTTATTTTTTTGACGAAATCATGCCAAATCAATAATTCTCTCATTATACCAGCAAGAATGGCATGCATCCATTGTTGCTGGTATGTCACTGTTGCCATTGTTGCTGATATTAGCACTGTTGCCACTTGGAAAAATGAGGCCGATAATTCTGGACAGTTTTTAAATTTAATGTTTTTCTTGGATAGTGGATGTTTTTTTAAGAGTACTTGGATACGATGTTTGTCGAAGACGTTTATAGCATTATGTTATTATTTATAACATTGTAGATAATTAAAAAAAACTAATTTTTATGTACATTATACTCCAGTAAGAATAAATATTTAACTCATCTTTCTCCTAAGTGAGTTTTGTGTACATATTCATTACATTCTGACAGATTTTGATATGTTAATTTTAGACATTTAAAATTGGGTTTGTTTGTTGTTCACGTAGGTTGGTTTTCTATTTACATGACTGTCTTGAGGACATGTCATGTTTATATGACCGTCTCCAGAAGGGTGAAATCTCTGATTTTATGTTCTGTGTGTGCTGAAGTTGGCAGTTAAATCTGAACTTTTTGCAAACCTTAGTGTCATTTTTACATTTGCGCTTCTATCTGTAACCTGAATTTATGAAAAAGGTTTTCTTCTAAAACAAAAGTATTAAAACATCTAGTATATTTTCATGTTAAAAATGTATAGAAATTGTTATTGAACGTTTTGGCTACACCTATATAAATCTCTTGTAAAATATTTGGGAGTATCTTGGTTATACTACATGAGCATTTAAAAGGGATAAAGTACTTAAGCATAATTATATTGCCTTTTTATGTTAGTAAAAATATTATTTTTGAACATATCAGATGTGTGTTTTCCATTGATATTCTGCTCTTTTGTAGCTCAAACAAAATAGAATGCATTCAAAAATTACAGCTGGACCTCAGTCATCTATTTTGGATGGAGTGACATGGGAAGAAATAAAGAAAATGCAAGTAAGTTTTCAATGCCAGAGATATGTTTTATGATGTGTGTTAAAAATTTTAATTTCACTGAACGTTGTAACATTCAGGATTTCTAAAATTTTGAAGCCTGTCAGTGGTTGAGTTCCTAAAATTACTAAACACTTTATCTCTAGGAATTCATTCATAGTAGAAAGAATTAATTGCATGGACATTTTATAGCTTCTTGTGTGCATTGTGTAAATATGAATGTTTAACGTAAAGTGTGCTTCAAGAGGACACCTATTTTATGTAGACTTTTCTCAACAAGGGATTAAATAGTGTATAGTTTGATTAAAAGTTACTAGGCAAGAAAAAGTATGCCAGAATGGGCAGTTGTATTTTAATTTCAAAATTATTATAGATTGGCATGTTCGAGTATCTCTTTGCCTTTTTAATTTCTATTTTTTAAGCTGCTTTTGCATTATTATTTCACTCTTTATTTTTAAAAATAGAATTATATTGAATCAATCTGTTTTCTAGCAGTTTTACAGCTCTGATGCAGATTATTTTTGCTTATTATTTAAAGTAATGGTTAACTTTGTAATTATTTTATTAAAGTACATCTAGAGTTAAAATCTATTTTGAATTAATGCCTGAAGGAAGTTTATTCTGAATTTAAAAAAGTAAACACTTTCACTTTATAAATAAAAATTCATTCGTAGTAGAAATAATTAGTTGCATGAACATTATATATAAGTTTTGATATTAAATCAAGAAGAACCAGCATTACATTAGTTATCTTAAGTTATAATATAATAAGCATAACTTGTTAAGATAATCTCAAGTCTCAATAATGCTATTGAGACTTGAGATTTCAATGTTAAAATCTGTTTGGTCACATAAAATTGTGTATAAGTTTTAAGCACTGAGTGCATTTGGAATATGGCAAGGAATTGTCAATTGTCTGTCTCTTATCCCCTGGTAGAACAAGAATATAATTTTTTGTAGGTTTTCCCTCCTATTTAAAATTTCATTATGGAAGCTAGCCTTTAGAAAATGGAATCTGTCCATGTTGTGTTTGAATGAATGGATTACTGTTGTTGCATGTGTATGGTTTTGTAATAGATTGAATGCATGCAGAACTGATGATAGCTTGATAAAATTTTATTTTACCAAAAGAAGCACTTCACAGTTCTAGAATTTTCCACGAAAATAATCTTATAGCTCCTCGCAGTATCACAGAGTATACTAAGAATGGCGAATAAAATTAAGGGTTACATTTTAAATTGAATTAGGAGTCATTTTATGCAGGAAAGAAATTTAGATTTAATTTCTTCTTTGTTGTACTGTTCTGTACCAGTCCATTTTATTTACTGTTTTTGAATTATCATTTGAATAAAAAAGGCTTTTGATGCTCTGAGTAAAATTATGTTTTGTATCTGCTTTTGAAGAATTTAAGTGCTAAATGTGGCATTAGCTAAATGTGTGTAATTATTTATTTGAGTCAGTTTCTATAAACCTTCATTCATTAACATACTATTTAGATTATTAAAATAAGAAAACATTTTAAATAATAAGGTAATATATCAAATGATAAACTCATTACTGGATAGAAAGAACCTATGCCACTCTGGCTTAATTGTTAAATTGATCCTCTTAATCTTGTGCTGAGGTAAATAAGGGGTTGTTTGTATTTTATTTAAATGTTTGGTTTGAATTTTATTTTATTTATTTGCATTTTATTATTTTGTTATTTTATATATTGAATTTTATATGTTTATGTGAAATTTTTTTTGTTAATTTTATGTAAAAACAAACTCTTTTTTTTTTTTATTCCACTAGAATTGTAACCTCATTGGCCGTCCCTCATTCCTGTTTTAGCCAACATGAATTCCCTCCTGTTTGGTTTTAAGTTTGCAAAGCTTTTTCTTTCCCTTTTGCCATTAGGCCTTACCTCTCAGCCCCCTTTTGTCGTTAGGCTTTGCTTCATTTCGCCTGCTCCCTTTGTTGCATTTGCATATCTTTTTTCTTATTTGTATTTTCTTATTCTTATTTTTTATATTCAACATTTGATAAGTGATTTTTTTTGCTTACCTTTCTTGATGAATATGCACAGGAACACTTGGAATTCTTTTCCATTTTGCTTTTCATACAGAAACTTTATTTACAGTTAATTACAACAATTGTATGCTACAGAAGAACGTTCATCATGTTTCCCACTATATCTGTATCAAAATCCGCAATGCGGTAAGAAAAATATAACAAGCTAAAAGTAAAAAAGCTGTGCCCTCTCGTGGCCAGATACATGAACTGTAACACCCCTTCTTTTTTAGCCACGAAGGCTCTCCTCTTAGACCAGTTTTTAGTTTTTCCTTCTTCCCTTTTTAATTGAAAGGCATCCCCCTTCTCTTTAAGCCGTTTGGCTTTTATTAGAGGCTCCCTTTCTCAGCTAATATGCTGTGCCTCGTTTTAGCCTAGTGGCTTTCACCCACCTTGGTACTTAGCACTTGTCTCTTCCTGCCTAATATAGAGTGAGCTAACAGAGTGTCTAGAAGCATGGATTGAAACCTACATACTGGCTGCAATCATTACAAAATGCTGCAGTTGCTTTCAGTAGCCAGTAGCAGGGGTGGTTATAAGAGTTTGTTGTTTCCATTGAAATAATGTTGGTTGCTGTAAGTGGAGACTTAATTAAATGACATCAGTTAAACTAGAAAAGATTTTTGTGGAATCATACTGTGTTTCTAAGCAATTGGAATTATTCATATTTTTGCTGTTAAATGGTGTGATGATTAGTGCAATATATAGTGCTAGTTATTATCGAATCCAAGACAAGACACAGATGTTCATTGTATTGTGTTTTTATAATAAGGACGCTTAAAATTTGTTAGTCGAAAGTCTGTGAAACGTTGGTGGTTGAGAAAGAGGGTACAAAACATTCGACTTTCATCATGTGGTGTGAATTCAAATTAATATGAAATTTATAGCAAAGCATATGAGTACTAACAGGTTGCTGTCGTATTCTTTGCCAACATTGGACAAATCATGTATATTGACTGCCTAAAAAAAATTCGTGCATTAGAATCTCGATTTATTAAATTTTAATGGGTGGAATGCAGGATTTCCTTTACTTCAAGACAAATTGGTCACTGTAGAACAATCTGGACAAAAGTTGTCTTTCATCAGAAGGAAGTTATTACTGATTGCACCCATAAGCAACTTGAGATTCTTAAACATAAGATACAGAAATTCTTGAACATAAGGTTCAAGAATCTCTGTATTTTAAGATTCAAAGTTATGCTTAAAAAAATGTGTAGGTCAATGTGATTATTCAGAATGATACTCACCCGTACCATGATTTCATCACAATTATACCAATGCCTTTCATAGATGTTTTTCAGTATTAGTGTGTCTTTTGCTCACTTTAGTTTGTAAAATTACCTGTAATCACTTTCCAGGCAAACCAGATTTAAAATTACGTTCCAAACTTAAAAAGAACTTGGTCATTGTTCATCACAGTGATCTCTGAACTGCTACAGCGAAGTGTAGAAGTTAACAGCCCGAGTCAGTGGAACTCGCATCATAGGCTTGCATACAAAGAGCTATTTTTATGCAGCCTGTTGCTTATGAGGTATCTGGATAATCAAGCTCCTGTAGATAGGAGTAAAGTCATTTGTCTTATTATTTCTTTTGCCAGTTGTTGCCAAGCAGCTGTCCTGGGAGGCTGTTGTGCCATGTTTTTGACCTTGACCTGATTGTCAGCATACATTGCTAGTGTCTTGTATACTGTTTGTGGTTTACATGATACTTTTGGCTACTTTTGTAAGTCTTCACAGACCTGTGTCAGTGTCTGTATTGCGTCCATTCATCCAATTGCTAGCTGTGTTTCACAATCTGTCAGATGCCTTCTCAATAACATGTTCCACCTTCCTTAAGTGAAAATTGTGCTCAGCTGCTGGTATATTCTTTGAAATTAGAAGTAAGTGCACCCTCTTGCACGTCTTCCTCCACATGAAAAAAAATGGTCATAAAAATCTGCATATGTCTGTGTAGCAAAGATGAAGCTCTGTGTGTGATAACGTCGAGTTTAGAATTAACATGAAGCAGTTTCTTAGTTGTTCCTTTAATTATTCCTCCTGTGTATAAATAAAATTTATTATATTTATAAACTGCACATGCCTACTCTCCAGACTTAGGCACGAGATTTGATTTTTGATCACTCTCAACACCAGTTTACAACATGTTTTTTCCAACGTTCTCCCTTCCTAAAATTTCCTAAAATTTTTATTATATTGGTTTAATATTTCGTTATTTTCGCCTCAAAACATCATTTCCTCTTTATGAAATTACTTGATTTTCCTTTTCATTACCAATTTAAAAAAAAAGGGGAGTGTGTTTTATGCACTGTTACTGCTTTGCATGTGGCAGATGTTTGAAACTGATAAGTAAAGTAATTCTGTGATGGCTGCCAAGTGTAGCTGCAATTTATGTGGTGGACATAAGCCAGTGAGCAGAAAATAAAAGTCAAAACAACCCTCTGCATTTCTGGAATAATGAAACAAAGTTTTTTGTAGTTGTTGAAGTTGCTTAAGGATTTGCAATCTTTTGTCTAATGACATCTGCAAAAAAAGTAAACTACTCGTGCACTTTTCAAGAACATATGCAGATGACTTTCCTTATATTGTAATATGTTTATGATGTTATCATTTGTCATTGAAGTTTTTCAGTTTCACATGGTGGCAGGGCCGATGTACTAAAATATGTATGTACACGAAATTGCAAGGATAGTGAACTGTATCGTTGCCTTTTCACCAAAGTATAATCTGCATTTGAATGTCTTTCATCATGCTGTGCTTTCTATTTAGAAAAATGGTTTTGATGGTGAAATCACTAAGAAGTATTCATGACTAAGAACAGAAATTATCATAAATGGAGGTGAAATAAATTCTCGGTTGTGAATTGCATTAGAATGATTTCTTTCTGCCTGTTTATCGATGTAAGAAATAATATTAATAAAATGCCTCAATTTTGTATAATTATCTATAATCGTGTGGCTTTAAAAAATTGAGTATAGTTAGTTTACTTTGTGTTCTCTTTTTGGATGGAGATTTTATAGGTTTGAATACAGCATAGCTAATCAGTGAAACTTTAGGAAAATAGAGTTTTTGTATTAACTTCTTAGCTCTTAGTACAGGCAATGCACTAATAGTTGTAAGTTTGAAGACTTAATTTAAGAAATTTACAAATTAAAGAAAAATACCAAATATAAACAAGAATGACATTTCAGCTAGAAAAAATTGGGAAAAAGTAAAGATAAAACTAAAACAATAAAAATTATGTTTATCTCCTCTGTATAAATGCTTCAAACAAAACTTGTTAAGGGGAAAGTGTTTTGAAGCCTTAAACCAAGTTGATTAATGATGATTTGAAGACTGGTGTTACAGGCAGTGGGAAAAAACTGAGATTTTCTGATTTTATTTGGTTCTACCTTTTTAAATTCAGGTGATAAAAAAAGTCCAGCTTTTTTTTACTAATAACTATAGATGAATTTGTTGTTGTTTGTTTTTAGCTTAAAAAAGAGTTCTAAGAGGAAAGAAAAGTAGGAAGAATTCCAACACCTACATAATACTAGAGTTAAAAAAATGTATGTACATGCTGGTTATTTTTCGAAAAATGTTTATCTAGAGTTTGAGTGGTGGAACCCGCTTCCTACATTTTCTGAGCGAGAAGTAAATGCTTCAAGAGTTAATATTAAAACTCGCTAATGATAGTACAAAATACCTAAAGTAAATGAAGGCAGGGCTACTACTTCTGTTAAAAATAAGTATAAGAAAATAATTTTTTTAGTACTCGGCAGTTTAATTGCCAGTGCTCAGAAGAATACAATATAAAATAATAAAATTGACACAGATGTCTCACAAAATTAAATAAGTAAAGAAAAATTGCTTGGCAACGAAAATATTTACCAGTTACTAATCTAAGTTTATCTCATCTAGAACAATTATTCATTCTTTTAACTTTACAGGGCTTTTTGCTTTTCCATGTGCTCCATTTTGACATCACTCAATGTTCTTGACACGTAACTGCAGCGAAAAAATCCATTAATTCATGTTTTGAATGTAATTATAAGCCATTTGTTTAAATACATTTTATTAATGTTCGGTGAACCAACCTCTGTTTTGTCTTCCTGTGAACCAACATGTGTTTAGATATCAGGTAAATTGTTGCAAAATGGAAAACAAAAAGTGATGAATACTTTTTAATGGGGGGGCTACAGCTAGCGGAGTAGTGAAAGAATTTCCTAGTGAAGATAAAAAATTTTATTTACTTACTAATTACTTCTGCCAAATGTGTGATTACATACAATGTAAATTTTTAATTAACACTGGACTCGTTTTACATGCTTAAGTTGCAAATGCTTCAACTCTAATAAATGCATCTTTTCTGATGTAAAATATTTTTAATAGATTTTTCTGTTTTACGTTGCTTAGTTTTCAAAGACAGAGATTTATATATATTGCAACAGATAAATTACAATTAGAAAACTTGTATGAGTCTCATTCAAAAATGAAAAAGTGCTGATAGAATATATAGTGAACTCTCTAAAGTAATGTTAACCATCTGTACTATTCTCAGCAGGAATGCGGAATGTTAGAGAATTTTCATTTTTGTTACTAAAACATGGACTGAATTGAGGTCCATTATGAATGATGGCACACTTGTAAAACTCTTGTTAGAAAAAACGGGTCTTCAGGGAATTGCTATGAGCAAAATTTTGATCTCTTAAAGAAAGCAATATCTGCTACTATTGAAACAGATCAAACTGTTATATTTCTTTAATATATTTGAAATAATAAAAAAGTATGTTTTTTAATGTATTTTATACTGATTGCATTTTAAAACTTAGATTGCACTTTGATATTGGATAGCTTTTAGAGTTTAATATTTAAAAAATAATTTTCATTTTGTATATTCTTGTTTAAAAATTAATTTTGTCAGTGGAAAAATTTTCTGATTCTTAAGCTTGGCAGGCTGGCATGTTATCTCTACCTTAAAAATATCTATTTTAACAAAACTGTTGTACGTTGTCCTTGGTTTCTTTGCTGAATTTTGTTTTAATTGAAAGTGCACTTTTTTAAGACTTAAAATGCTTTTACTGTTTGCATCATTTTTGCTTTGCACAGAAAAAATGTGCAGTTAAGAAAAATTCTTTTACGTTTTGTAAAGCTTCAGTAGGTCTCAGTTATGCTCTGTATTCTTTGTAGACCCAAACTTAAGGCTACTTTTGAAACTCCTAAAACAGTGCTTAACTAATAAAAAGTAACAGAAATAAACTTACTGCAGCTTAATATGAAATAAAATTTGGAATATTGCTAAATAATGCAGGCCCAGAGCTGAAGGCCATGTCCAAAGCAGGAGTCTTGTTGTGTCTTTTACTTGACTTCATTGTTTAGTTCTGTTCATTCTTACTTAGGGTAGAGAGTAGGGAAGAATGTAGAGTATCTAAAACAACTGCAGCAATGGACATAACTGAACAACAAAGTTAATAGAAAAATAAAAATCTCAAATAATGATTTTGTTTCATACCTGGCTTAATATTAACTTACTATAGTTAAAAAAGAAGTTGCACAAATTATTAATACAAGCATCACTTCAATTTTATTTTATCCAATAAAACCAAGTACAAAATTATTTTCTGAAAGGTCATTTGTGAATTATGGCTTGTACTAGGGCAATGTTTAGCAAATGATTCAGTAAAACAATAATTTGGTGACCAATGGACACAAGATAAAATAACATTATTTATGCAGAACTTCATTTGGGACGACAAATGGTGAATGTTATATGTGACAAAACTATTGTGGGAGGCGAGCTTATGCAAGATGAATCAGATCTTTTTTATAAACTGTATTAAGGTGGGCTGTTGCACCACAGGTTGTACAGCTGGAGTTAACTTTAAAGACCCTTTTTTAAAAGAAATTTCAAGTTATGCCAGGCTAATCAGAAGGTTCATGGCTGAATCCGAGCAATCCTACCATTTCCTAGGATCCTAGGGAGGGTGGTTGATCAAAAATGTCAAGACATACACTGAAGCTCAATTCAGTTGCTTGCATTACATTATATTGTTAAGGTCCTTAGCAAGATGAGAAAGTGTTTTAGTGTTGTGTCATAGCGAGAAAAATGCAGCGAGTTCAAAATGTTTCATTATAAACTTTTGCATCTATGGGTAAATCTACAACCACCTTGTTTACAATCTTAAGACAAGCTTTATGGGGATGAGATTTTGACAGTATGTAATTATGAATGCTAGAATCACTGTGTTAATGCCCAAGGACCATACTTAAAGATCTTTGAGTTTAATTGAACCTGTTGGCTACAATGATTTTTCCAGCATTAGTCTTATTTTTTGGGATAGATGTTTTCAAAAAAGATTATGTTGAAATTTTTGTTTAAGCCAGCAATTTATTACATAAGCTTTATAGAGATAGCATAAGATATCTTAAAACTTGGATAATTTAACTAAACCTAATTAATATTTGAAATTGATTTTGAGACCTTGAACACCTTTTAAACACTAAATATATATTTTGTTCTGACATAAGAACTGTATTTTGCCCATCTTTCTTTGTCAGGATGCACAAATGACAAATGCTACTGGGGATCATGTGGTATTGGTAGGTGCTGCATCAAAAGGTATAATACAAAGAGAATTCCAACATAATGCAATGGTGTATAAAACAGCTTATGCGAAAAATCCTTTTGATAACATTTCTGATCAGGATTTAGAAGAATATAAGAAAATTGTGGAAAGAAAGCAAAGAGGTGAACCAGGTATGTTATTTTATCCTTAAAGTTCAAATGTAATTGAATATTATAAATGCTAAAACATATTTGAATATTTTACTTCTATCTTAGAAATATACTGAAGAGCTAAAACATGATCACTTGCTTAATATGTTGGGTAATGTGTTACTCAAATGGTTCATTAGTGAAGCATATATTTTGTTTAATTATATCTTTACCAGTAAGTTACTTCTCATTGCATGCTTTTCCAGTAGATTGATCTCTGAGTAGTTTTTGAAGACCAGGGAAAAATCTTGTACTTGAACTGAATCTGAAACTGAAAGCTTCAGTAGATGCTGAGGTAACTTTCTTAGAATGAGCTGCTGCGGTTCTTGTGTGGCAGTGGCCTGGCTGACTTTCTGTTCACTAATATATACTACTTAGGTGTTCTCTACTATGTTGTTTCAACATAGAAAAATAATGTAACTAGACAATAGTTATCTGGTCTGTTGAGTTTTAAACGTCGACCAGGAAGAGAATTATTCTTGCAGTACATGCTGCGAGTTAGGACAAACTATTGCTATATTTTTGGTCTACTATAGTTTTTGGTTCTGAATAATGCAAAGGACCCAAAGGCTTGTGTTCAGTAAAATGTTGGTTTATGTTGCTCTCTCCCTCCAATGTTCATGTTCTGTAAGCCATTCTTGAATACTCTGGGCCTACTATAGGGAGATGTTATTGCCTTAGATGTTATGAATTTAGTGATATTTAAATTTGACTGTAGCTTGCAACAACAACCATTCATTCACATGAATATTGCCAAATAAACTAATAAATATTCATAGTTTTATGCAAGTAATTGCTTTCATTTCTATAATAGTTATCCTGTAGAGTATAATAACTAACAAAGATACCCAGCATTGCGTCTGGTTTTGAATCTTGGACAAAGTTTGGAATTCTGTCTTTGCAAAATGAGGGCACAATGTCTTTATATGAGGTTGTGGTGGAGAGGAGAATATAAAGCCCTCAGATGCCTTTCTACAAAATTGAGATAAATCATATTCAGGTAATCTTTGTATGCATTACCTAAATTCATTCCAGTCTTGGATTTCATTGTTTTAAATTAAAAATTATTTTGGAAAGGGCATAAAATTATTATAATACACTTATCAATGAATATGAAAGCTTGGTAGAATTTTTTTTTTTTTTTTTTTTTTTTTTATAATTTTAGTATGTTTCATTTTTGCAAAACTGGGATCATAGTGTTGTAGCTCTTCAGTTTGCTTAAGCAGCTAAGTAATTCAATGCAAATACATCATTAATATGTAAATTTGCATTTGTGGCATTCTTAATGATAGATTTAAAACTTTTAATTTTTATTCATGCAGTTCTCATTTTATGTTGATTCAAATTCAGTGAAAGTTTCTTATGTATCAAGTTGTGACTATATGGCGAATTTGTGTTCGTAATATGTAATATATATTTTTGTCTTGTTTGCTTTTAATTTCGTATATTCATAGATTATGCAGCCTTGTGCTTAGTTCTATGGCATTTAAACTATTATGGGAAGATCAGATGGTTTTTTTGTTAGGTTCATAAATGTGTTTCAGTTGCTAATAAGTTTGAATATGACAAACAGAAGATCTGTCTGAAAATGATTCAGAGCAGGTAATTGATAGTATTAGACAGACATTCCCCCCTTTCTCTGAATAGTGGTAAAGCTTACTGCAAGGAGATTTTGATGTTGGCATTTTATGGATGTGATAATCTCTGGAAACAAATGGTAAATTAATTTGAATTTCTGGAGCTATTGACTTGTTAATACTATTAAAGTCTGTTGCTTGCCAGGTGTACTTTTATTGCAAGATTAGTTTGCATGTATTGCTGAATAACAGCTTAAAACATAGTTCCGAACCTTTTTATGGTCCTCACCCTGGGAATTCTTTTAATATTTGTACACTTCCTACAAATATATTTGATCTCCTTACAGTATCAGCTTATTGGCAGTTCTTTGAGTGATGATTTTTGTGTCATCACTCAAGGAATTCCTTTCAGCCCTTTATGTAGAGAATTGCTGGTTCAGAATGATGCACATAAATTGCATTGAGACAGAAAAGACTGGCTTAGTTTACACATGGGAAACCCTTAAAAATACCACTATTCAGAGACTTCAGCCACTCAACTAATCATGGTCCATATGATGGAAAAGTGTAAATCTAGCATCTAAATATGGAAAATAATACATGTTTCGTATTCTTATTCGTATATTATATTATCAATGGTTAATATTAATTGCTACTATAGAATGTTTTGGGAATGTCGTGACAGCAAAATCATGTTGAAATTGCATTAGATTTTTAGTTGAAATCTTTGCAGTAACATAAAGTAATTTCTGTGTAGGGCTGCTTCAATTGTATCTGTGGTGACTTTATCAAATAAATATATGCATTGTTGCACTTTATATTAAGGTAACCATTAACTGGTGTAGGGAACTTGCCAGGTAAACCCCAATACTCGAATGTCTAGAACTGGGACCTAAGCAGAGCTGTTTTAATGAATTTGCTTTTTTTTTTTAAAGTGCTATACATCTGAATAAATTAATTAAATGTTAAAATTTCAGTGGAAATATTTAAACATCCTAAAATTTAATTATTAATCATTTTCATATGTAATGATTACATATTTAAAGTGTTTGTGAAAAATATGATTTTATTTATGATATACCCAACCATATAGGATATGCATAGGTTTTTCTTAGGCTGAAAGGGACAGTTAATGGTCTCTTTGTGGAACAGAAGCATATTCTTAATTGTGAAAAATCTTTACTTATATTTATTAATTTCTCTTTAGAAAATTTTCTTGTAAAATTTGTTAACAAAATACTGAAATTAAAAAAAATTTTTTCTAAAATTTTGCCTTTATAGTTGAAGATGATATTCCGGATCATATCAAACCATTACTATTAGAGCCAGTACTAGCGCCAGAACACCAGACACTCAGTTCTCCTGTCCAAGATCTTAATACACCTCCACAGTCTCCTGCATCACCATGTTCTGATGAAGAAGGTACTTCTGTTTTGTCATAAGCCTTTTATATGGGATGAATTGCTTGCACTGAATTTTGATCTTTAAACATAATTAGCTTGCTATGTTTTGAATTGCCTACTTTGTAGCATGTATAAATATTCCTTTCAATATTTTAAAATTAAGATAATCAGAATATCATGTATTGAAAAATAAGTCATTTTTAAATTGAAGAAACTGCACCTATTCTTTTATATTTAAGCATGAACTCTTGCTTTGCATATTCTTTTAATTTATTCTAATTTGCATGCTGTCTCTTTCACTGTTTTATTTACCTGCAGTTGTCAAATCAGGTGCTTCTGTTCAGAGGTCTCTGTCTGCAAGACTGAGTGTTGAAGGTAAATAATCTCCAAGAATGTTTTTAAATGGATATAAATTAATTGCATTCTGAATATAATTTTCTCATTGCTATGGATTAAGTCATTTCATCTTGGTATATATTGCAGAATATTGTTAAAAGCAAGAAACAAAGTTAAGGGTTTGTCATGCATTTCTTTTTAAGATCTGCATGCATTTCTTTTAAGATCTGTATGCATATTATACAGACTATTTTTAATATGATTTTATCTATTTGTGCCAAAAAAAGGGGGTTAAAAATTTTAGAGTAGATTTTTAATATTGACCACTAATATGAAGCAGCATGTTTTAATAATGTACACCACTATGTAAATTTATTGCAATTTGGCAGTTTTAACAATTTTAGTAATGCGGTTTAAAAAGAAAACTTACAGGAAACATTTTAAGTTTATTGTTGTATTTGTAATATTCTGTTTCCACATATCTTTTTGGAAACCTTTTGGAATATAGTGAGCCTCTGGGACCGCATCCCAAGTTATGTAATTGAAAGTTAATGTGTATATAGTGCAATGTTTGTATAAAACTTGCAGTAAAAATGAATTTTGGCTTTGAAATGCTTTGTTTGCTATGAATTAAAATTCTAAAACAGAAAATAATGTGCAATAGTATTTGACTCTGCAGGAATTATGTTATTTACTACCAGCAATCTGTGCACTACAAAATGTATTAAAGGTTATTCCACATATTCAGTATTTAAAAATGTACTTGCTTAATTCAAAACAAGAGATTGACTTTTGTAAATTTTAGAAAACGAATTTAGATCAAGTAAGAAAATGCTTTTTCAGATATTCTGCTTTGAAAAAGTCTTTATATATTGAAAAATGATTATGTATAAGTTACTTTGGTTAAATGTAAATGTCTGCATTGCACTGCTCTGCTTGCTTTGCATCTCAGAACTATTCTCTTAGTTCTCCATAATCTTTGCTTTAGCATGTTTTTTTTTTTTTTTTTTACTGCATTTGGGACTAAAAGAATTGCAAAAAATAGTTTGCTTTTTGACTTCAGTTTTCATTCATTTGCAGTGTTGAATAAATACCATTGTTAACTTTTTAATCTTTTAGATTTGGAAATGCCATTATGTGTTCTATTCTTGAGTTCCTGTATTCTAATTCTTATGTTATGACATTTGCTGTGAATTTTTGTCTATTTAAAAGTTCATTTCCTCTTCCATTCAGTGTGAATCATTGAGTTATTGATATAATTGAGTTCTGTTCATATTAAGGTGTTTTGTTTATTTCAATTTTAAAAGATACTGCTGGAGAATATTGAATTTAATGTTCTGCGTTTGATACTCTAAATATCCAATGCTTCTGTTTTTCATGCTTCTAGACCAATCTGAGTGCTTAAAACTTGAAGGTAAGTTTCCTGAGGAACGGTTTATTCATATATATGATGTGCTTTCTTTAAACACAAGTTGGCTATGTTAAAGAACGGCTTTTTAAGATATAAATGAAAGCTTTAATTATGTTAGTTAACTGGTATTTTTTCATTTCACTTCTTGATGTGAATTAAGATTTCTTAGTTCATTTCTTAATTTCAAAGACAATTCTTTCTTATTTATTATAAATCATGTCAGGAACCATTTTTAACTAAAATTTTTATTAAAATGAATGAATGAATGTTTATAATTAGTTTACTTAATTCTTCATGGGAAGTTTAATTACTTATTCCATTTTCTAAGGCATGAAATGTTACTTGCATGTTGTTTGCAAACTGCTGATCAGATAACATTATTAAGTAATAAAAAAATTGAAATTTTTAAAATAAAAAATGGCTGCAGAAATTAAAAGGTAATACTTTGATCTGAAAATATACTTATGCTCAAAATTATCTTTACATAAATAAATGTAAGTTAATATATTCATGAAGTAATCAGTCAGATGTATTTTTTTAATGAAATGGGTAAAAAGCAAACCCATTTTATTTTATAAGCAAACTGAATTTTGTAGTTTGAAATCAGATATCTGTATTTATAGAAACAAAAATTTTTTACGGTGAACTATCATTTGGGAAAATTTTTGGTAAACCTACCACTGTTGTGCATTTAGAAGCGGATCTGGGGAAAAAACCCACAGGAAGAAAGCACACAGGAAAAATTCTCACAGAATAATGCTCACAGTGAAAAAGCCCACACAGAAATATGCTCACATGGAAAAATGCTCACACAGAAAAACTCACATGGAAATAAGCCTACTGATAAATAAAATACATAGAAATATCCTTATATTAATCAATCAATAATTAATCGATTTGAACATAATAAACATACTTAATTTTTGTAAAAAAATTATTTGACCATTTAAAAAAAAATATTGGACAAATGCTCACATAAACATTTTCGGAGTCGGTATATAAAAGAATGAAAACTATAGTAAATTTTTTCGTGTACTATTATTTTTTATATCACTGCCCCTGTACAACATTTTTATTTCTGTAACTGCCAATAGTTAATTTTTGCATACTTTTGATGTGTATCTATAGAAATTGATGTTTGAATGTAGTTAAGTTTGGTGCCAAAAAAGTTCTAGAAGACCACAGTTTTCAATTGAAGTGTGGAATCATTATAAAGCAGCTTTCGAAAAGTCTCCTAAAACCACAAATTGTTACAGAAGCTTTAAACACTTGCGCTACGATTAAACTTCATGGTTACGGTGCCGTGCGCTACAATATAACAAGGGGTAAAGTGTCTCATTTACGTCGCTCCGCGTCTGCGAGTGCAATCCAGAGCTGTAACTCGAGAAATAAACAATCTCGTTGTTAGGCGACATGTGCACCACATTTTCATTTTTGTGATAAATGACTTTTGATGTGGTGTTCACGTCATTCGCGGTTTGAGACAAAAGCATCTCGACGTGCGTGGCATGTCTTTTTAATGCAAGTGGTTAATAAGGTACTAAATTCATTATGTAATTGTAGCCATCCCAGTACGTGGTTTTTATTTGACAGACTGAAAAAAGATCTAGCCTGTCAACGTTTATTATTCGCTATTGTAAACGCATGACGAAAGTAAAAAAGTTTAAAAAAAAAAGTATGAAAACTTACATTTGGTAATTGTGAATCATGTAAGAAACTATGATGAAATTGAATATAAAATTAGATATTTACATATATTAGCTAATATTCAGCACTTTTATGTATTTATAACATTTTTAAATATATAATTATGATTTATATATAATAAGGTATTTTACATAATTTAAATAAAATAATTATTTAAGTTTGCTTATTCTTCTAATTGTTTATATTATAAAAGTTATATTTACTATTATTTATTTTTAACAATTAAAATTTTAATAATTTCTCATTGTATATTCTGTTTCATTTTTCTTTCTTATCTCCTTTTCCTAACTCAAAACAGCCCATTTATTAATCTTATATAGCAACTGAATCTACACATAAGTTATACAGTTTCTGATATATATATATATATATATACATGTGTGTATATGAATCATTATATCATATAATTTAAATAATTTTACCTTGAAAAATTCTTTGAGCATTCAATCGATGTTGAAATCGATTAATTATTCATTAACCTAAGAATATTTCTACGTATTTTATTTATCAGTTGGCTTATTTCCCTGTGAGCATTCAATCGATGTTGAAATCGATTAATTATTCATTAACCTAAGAATATTTCTACGTATTTTATTTATCAGTTGGCTTATTTCCCTGTGAGCATATATCTATGTGAGCTTTTTTCCGTGTGAGCATATTTCTAAGTGAGCATTTTCCCATGTGAGCTTTTTTCTATGTGGGCATATTTCTGTGTGGGCTGTTTTCCTGTGAGCATTCATACCTGTGAGAAGTGTTGTGTGAGAATTTTTCCTTTGGGCCTTTTTTCCTGTGGGCATTTCTCCGGTCACCATTTAGAAGCATAGTAAACAAATATGTAAATGGCAAGATACCTGCATGATTTAGTCAGCTTGTTTTTTTTTTTTTTTTTTTTTTTTTTTTTTTTTACTAGAGAATAAAACAGAAAAAAAATTATGAATGTTGCTGAATAGAAATGCTTGGTTACAAACTTTCGTAATAAAACTAGGAGACTGATTTACCACATCTCCCAATTTTTATGTTATCTAAATGTACATTGTATTTTTCAAACTGTAGTTCTGGAACTATTGTTTTTAGGTATCAAAAAGAAATGCAGTAAAGAATTTTTATGCCCCCCCCCCCGAAAAAAAAAACACTACTAGGCAACAATGTTATATCACCGTGAAACTTTAAAATTGTGCAAATTCCCTTTTTTGCAAGCTTTTTTTTTTTTTTTTTTTTGTCTACACTGTTTTAATCCAAGAAGCTTTTTCCCTGCTCTGGTTTTTTTCCCCTATACATTTTTAAGAAGTGACAAAGTGAAATTAGCAAAAAAATTTAATATTTAGTTTACTTGTCTAAATTTTTATATATATGTTTAGTTTGAAATCATGTAACTAATTTAATCATTCAAATTAAGCAGTATAAAGTAGCTTAACTAAAATATTAAATTTACCCTATGACCACTGCAAAAAATGTAATTTTTGTTTCCCTTTCATCAAATCATATTTGGCTCTTTTTTAAGCCATGTTGGTGCAGTGTAAAATACTCCTAGTTTTTCATGTTTCTAGCTTGGCAATTGTAGTAGCAACTGCTTCACAACATCAGTTTCAGTCTGCAACTGGCCATCAACCTTGGAACCTAACTACTAGACAGCAATATTAATATCTTGCAATTATTGCCTATTAGGCCTTTTATGTAACTTAAATACTTCGAAGATTTAATGAGAGATGTTTAGTCCAGAAAATCAATGGGTTGCATTTCTGGTTTCACAAGAAAAGGGCAGAGAGCATCGAGTCCCAAGCCTATAACAATCGACCTGTTCTCTTTTCGGTGATGAGTTTAGACTCAGTTTAACATATTTTCTAAATACATTTACATCCCCAGGGAAAATGCTAGCAAAAAAGTTCCTACCCACACCAGGGAATGTGATCAAGTGATGGTGCAAATGTGATGTTATGGAGATAATCATATTTCTGAGCACATTTCTTGTAAATCTGTGGCTGCCTAGAAATAGGCATCTAGAAATCTTTAGAAATAGAGATGAAGTTTTATAATCTCTTATAAATCATTTTGGAGAATTTTTTAAATTATTTTTGTTATGGATGATAATATGCAAACTGGATGAACTTCTTGAACCACAAATGTTGAATGAAGTCGCATAGCCAAATCTGTTTTAAATTCTATAAAGAACATCTTGGAAGATGTGTGGTTCGGCAAATATCTTGTAGAAATCCAAGTGTCTTGGAGACTGTTTACAAAGTGGACTCAATTTCCTAAACTTTTACCCCTCCTTAAAGGTGCGTAAGCTTTACTGAGAAGATGAAATCACACTGAAATGTTATGTGTTCCCCGTTAGAGAAAACTACATTTGGTGGGCTAAATCAAAAAGTTTATTTATAAATGCAAGTTCAGTATTATTAAATAAATGCAGTTTTTTAAATATTCTTATTTTTCATTTCTAATGTTATGCAGATGCTTGTGAATTTTGTTTTAAGATTATTCTGTAGGTAATTTGACCAAAATGTTATTGCTGTTTTCACATGTCATGGATCATGAATGTAAGCCACAAAGTATTATATTTAAGTGTAAGACTGCCTTAATAGATGAGGCATGCAATCATTTTCCTGTTGGTGATTCATTTTTAATATTTAGAGATTTTCAGTGAATCTTTGTTGCATGTTTTATTTGCGATTTCAAATTAATTTAGATGCCTTATAGAATACATTTATGTAAAATTTCGGTATTTTTTAAAGTTTTTAATAAAACTCTTCACTTAGTATATAAGTTTAAAAACCATTAAAACATTAGTTTATGAATTGTTTACTTTAAATTTATTTGATGTAAAAAGTATTCTGTGTAGATACTTGAAAGCAAATTTTTTTTTGCAATTCTTAAATAATAAGAATTTTGGAGGAAAAAACCAGCATTAAAAATTTGCTTGCATTGAAAATGCACAATGGCGCATATTTTAATTTTTAGTTTTGAGATGCATGTAAGTGCTTATATTCTCAGCATGTAAAGTTGCTTCTCTCTTTGCCTGATTTCTATTTGCATGTAATCTTGTGATGCATGTTTGCATGTTACTTATAGCTGCTGAAGAGATACGAGAAAAGGGTTTTCAACACCGTACTTTTTCAGAGCGTAAACCGAAAACTAAACACAGTAAGTTATGTCAAGTACTATACATGTATATATAGAATGGTGATTTATTTTGTCAGTATTTAGTATTTTCAAATCTCTTTCTCATATTACATTATGAATATATTTTTTATTTTGTTGAAATGGTATTTTTTAAAAGTATTTAGAGGAAAATTCTTGCAGCAAGAAAAACGAGCAGGATTTATGAGTAGGTATTGGCCGGTGTTGAAAAATAATTAATGATTGAGTTTTCGTGAACAAAACTAGGAAATATTAGAAATTCCAAATGAAATGTATTTTGAGTACATCATCAGAATGAATTAAGTTTTCATACTCAAACTTGCAGTTTTAAACCTGATTACAAAGTATAAAGTATCTCATCAGCTATCAGTCTTTAAAATGATGCACCTTATTTTCAGACTTATAAAGAGTGTCCCAAAAGATGGTTTCCTAACTTAACATGCTGGTCTGTCAGACCATGACAAACAAATTTTACATAGGAAATTATATGAGAAACCCTGATCAGCTGTTCCCTAGAGGTCTATGTGTGCAGGTGTATTGGCGAGTGGAAAGGGGAACCATTTTAGGTAAAGAGGTTACAGGAGAAGGACACATTTGTTGAGTAATAAGGAACTGGCTGATGTGCATATGAAGCCATGCATAGAAATGGACAAGGTGCAAGACGAATGTACCAAGAGCGATTCCACATCTGCCAAGTTGTGCATTGTTTGGACAACTGCACGTTAAGTGAGGCTAGAGCTTTCTGAGTTAACAGCAAATCAGTCAACAGTGCACTACGTGCACACCTGCCATAGAGGAAGCTCTGCATAGGGAAATTCAAAGATACCTAGGAATATGTATTAGAGTGATCAAACGTGAGACTTAGGTGTACCTTACTGCAGTGGTACGTTACAGTCTAGGAGCTTTAATTTTATCCAAAAGCTTTGTTTTCAAACAACTGTTTAAACAATCAATTCTTTTGGTATTGCAGGAATTGAATACTTTTAACAGTGCCTGAGGCTGTTTTTATAACCTCATGCATCATTGTGTCATATTTTGCCAGTAATTTAATATCAGATAGAAAAATTACTTACACATGTATCAGAGTCCACGAAAATTACATAAAAAATTGCAACTTTTTAATTAAATATCACGGTCAGTATTTGCTGTGCAGAAGTCAAAATTACTATAATTCCACATGTAACCAAGTCCTTTCTCTGTGTCCCTGAAAACTGCTATTATTTTTTCCTAATATTCAAGTTATCTTGATTTAGTGTCTCCAAAAGTAACTGAAATTGATTTCATCTTTTACAGACTTATCTAGTATTTGATCAATATGGTTATTTGTTTCCCAGTTTTTCTTTTCAATACAGCTTGCAAAATAATGAGAACATCCCTTGCCCTTATTTATTCGCATGGATAATGTTTGCCAGTGTTCAGGACCAGTGGTAGGTAAAGTCAGCAATTGCCTATGGCAGCAAAATTTAGGGGTGCCAAACCAACTGAACTTCAACAAAAATTCAAAAAATATATTCCAATTGCCTGTATCTAGAAAATAAAGGATTAGTAAAATAAATGCAACAGGATTTGACAGGCTTCTGCCAATTCCTATACTTTGAGATGTGTAGCAGGCAAGAATAGACAAACTTCTAAGTTCTGAGTAGTGTGTATGTATGCACACAACCATGCGACACAAAGTGAGAAATGCGCACCCGCTGCTGACAGAGTTAACTACCTTTTATGGCCCTCTAATAAAAGTGAGTCAGATTTAAAACTATGCCTTATGTATGCAATAACGGGATTAATGTTCTACAAAGGCCAAATTTTTCAATAAATATCTTCTTATCCCTTTGTAAAGATCAAAATCAGATGGATATCTTTCATTTTTTTTAATTTCTATAAGTAGTTGGAACACTTTCAGACTTTTTTACATCATTATTTCTGACTGGAGCTTAAATATTTTCTGACAGGTATTGTTCAATGACTTCAGTTGAAATAGTTTCTGGTACATTTTTAATTTTTAAAATTGAATTTGAACTGTCTGATGTTGCATTTTAAATATTCACTATTTTCTGATGACTGTTCCTATAACCTCAAAGTTAATGCTGGATATTTTTAACTAGAATTTTCAACTTGGAGATACTGATCAGCAGTTTTAATTTTCTTCATTGCCTGCTATAAAGCAGTGCACAATTCTTTTTTTTCTCCCCATTTAAAGCTTTCTTCTCCATAGTATAAGATTTTTGTTTAATGTTATAGTTTATAAACAAAAAGGCATATAAATGGTGTAAATAATTTAATTCATCATTTATTAAATCAAGAAGAAAATTTTAATATTATTCAGTATTTTCTGCTTATTGAAAACGTTATATTCTATATCATTTCATAAGATGATAAGCAATTTATTTAACATTTTTCTTTTTGTTCATCTCCAATCGAAATATTAGTTTTAATAATTTTACTCTTAACCTATGACCTCTGCAAGCTAAAGTTAAGGCAGTCTCATCAATATACCAAATTCTTGTCAGTGGCAAAATGAATAAGACTTCTGAACAGTAGTAATTCATTCTAGGTATGAAACCTAGTGAATGATCTAATAGCTTAGATATCCCCCCTCCCATGCAATAGTAAATACAACTCACTTTCTCTCACATAGTATGCTTTCCTTTAGGCAGACAGCACTCTCATCCTTTGATATAATCGACTTTATGAAGAAACAGTATGTCATCTGCACGAGATTGTAAGGAACAGTATCTAGACTAGAAATCCCCATTTTCATCTTTAACAGGTTTTAAAATGTAAATAAAAAATTTAACTGAAATTTAGCAAGCACATACATTAAATTACAAATAAAAATTAATGGAATTTCATTTCATGTTTTTGTTTAAAGATTTTTGTTTTGCATTAAGATTAAACTATTATGAGATTTATGTAAATAAATTAATTGTATAACTAAGCTTTGAAACAAGAATTGGTGCAATGTTTATAATGTCCAAAAAAAGTTTTAATTCCTACCCTCAGCCAACTCAATCTTTTTGTATTTAAGAGAAATTTTTACATGTGGGTACAATACAAAATCATTTCCTAAAACTAGATAGATGCTTTGAGAATTCTAGTGAACTTCAAGGTCCTTCATTTTTGTAATGTGCTCGCATCAAGCAATTCAGAACTTGTTCTCACAATAAGCCTGAGCAACAGTTATCATAAGGACTTTGAGAGCTCTCCTCTAGATGGGAATCAAAACAAAAGCATATAGCTTTTTTGCTTTGTGTTCAGCTAAATTATGGTATATGTAACATTGAATTCAGTTTTTGTCTTTGCTCCATAGGGCTTCCTAACTGTGTCGTATGGCACACATAGAGGGCCCTTGGAATCTTAAGATGGATTCTGTTATATACGAGGGCCATCCAGGAAGTAGATTACGTTTCCGTCTGTGTCCGCTAGGGGCGGGGCTAGCGCGGCCATCTTGGGGTCAGAGCGTTGCGCAGCTCAGTCTGCATCTAGCCGTGCTAGTGAGAGGTTCGTGCTGTGCTCCGTTCAGATACTGTGACGGTTTGAAATGTCTGCGTTAATTGAAAATCCTGCGAGGTGCGCTCAGTAATAAGGTTTCTGACTGCAAAAAACTGTAAACCGATAGAAATCTATCGGCAGCTTCGTGAAGTGTATGGGGACAACATTATCATTGAAGGTGGAGTGCGTCAGTCGGTCATAAGATTTCAAAATGGCCGAACCAATGTTCACGACGAAGATCGAAGTGGGAGACCCAGCATAGTGACCGCCGAACTTCTCGAAAAAGTCGATGCTAAAGTCCGTGAAAATCGAAATTTCACAATAACGGAACTTTCTTTGAGTTTTCCACAAATTTCGCGAAGTTTGTTGCACGAAATCATCAGCGAAAAGCTTGGTTACCACAAGTTTTGTGCAAGATGGGAGGCAAGAAGAGGTAACGAAGTGGTTGAAGGCGCAGGCGGCCGAATTTTTCGACGAAGGAAATTCCAAGCTCGTACATCGCTACGATAAATGCCTTAATTTGTATGGTGACTATGTAGAAAAGTAGTATTTGAGTGTGGCTTTCATCTGTATATAATAAAATTTGTTTCCTATACTTTGTTTATTTTTTATTCCAAAACGTAATCTACTTTCTGGATAGCCCTCGTATATATGTATATTGGTATTCTATTATATATCTAAGAATCCATGTTAAGGTGAAACATGTAAATGCAGCAGGACATTCAAGGGTTTGGTCCTCTGTGCAACATTCTATTCTTTGCATACCGTTATTTACACATATATGGAACTCGATCTTTAAGTCTGTTACATGGCAGTCAAATATTATACTGCTGTTGAAAAAGAGTTCTAGTGCAACAGATTCTGATATTCGAACTGCTTTGTAATATGAGCATTTTTGATTAGCTCTCAAGATCACTGCATTTTGATAGTTCAGTTGTATGTTTGAGTTGAAGTAAAAGCACAACTAACTTTTGATCAAATAATTGGCATTAAGTTTAATGACACTGCTACCAACTTTCATGATTAATGGGATGCTTTACTCTCAAATTTTTAAAGCTTACAGAATATGTTATCTGTTATGCATTTTCCCTCTGAAATATTATGCAGTTTTAAATAAAGGATGTAATATTCAAGTTGATAACAAATAAGATGACTGTGTTTATGATTGTAGACCAGAGTAACTAGTCTTCCTTAATTTAGCTTTGCGTGTTTAATATGCTCAACTATCCAAAATTTTCTAGAACCCAGCGTTTTACATTTTCCAAGCTTTCCGTATAGTATTTTTACTGTATCAAATTTGGGAATAATTAATACAAGCCATTTCTGAGGCATTCGTGTTTAAATCTTGGCTGTAATTTTCACATTGGGGGGGGAGGGAAATTCATTTGCCAAACTTTTGTTAACCCTGACATTTTTTCGCTCTTCAAAGAAAATCTTTCAGAATTTTAAATCTTGAATTATTAATTCACTATTCTAAACATTCTGTAGTTTAAACATAGTTTTTATATTTAGAAAATTCTAAAATTATTTTAACTATATATTTTAAAATACGTTGTCTGAGGAACCTTTAGAAGGTATTTCAAAAATGGAAACTGTCTTTTAAAATTTTATTCATATGTAAATTTAGAACTTAAATCATATGCCATATCAAAGATTGAGAATTTCAACTTGATTAACAATGTGTGTCGTTATAAATGAAAAAATATAAATATGCATGAAAAATGGATTTTAAACAAGTCACTGGTAATCCTTTTTCATTTTGATCGAAATTTTAATTAATAACTATCAATCTTTGTTTTATTTAAAATGTGAAACTTTGTTTAATAGAATTTGAAAGGTAATATATATATAGAATCTTAAGCAATCGCCTCCCTAAGAAAACCACCTCTGAAAGTGACCAATATTTTTCAGAAAATAGTTTTTAAAAATATAACTTTATTTCCAAGATTTCAACTTAGTAACTGAGAAAAGAATTAATCATGAAAAATTTAAAAATATATTTAAGTTATACAAATATTTCAGTTCTTGTTATTAAGTTAAAATCGTATCGATTGTTGTCAGCTCATAAAACACTTTTTACTGTTGAGTAAATTTAAAACATAATTCGAAAAGAATTTCAATTAAAAAATATTTGGGTGTATTTGAGTATTTTTTTTTTTGAGCGTAGACTAGTGTGAACAGAAGTGTATCAAAATTACTTTTCTTCTCAGCTGCTGATATAACTGTAAATGGAGAAGAAAAATTAAAGTCGGCTGAAAGTGGAGAAGTGTCAGCTGCATCCAGAAGTAGCAAAGAGGTGAGATCATTTATCTTCACCTAATTCATGTATAAAATTTATAGAAGTCAATAATATTTTGAATTATTTTAAGTTATCTGTACAATATCAATAATACTTTTTAAAAAACTTTGTAAACACCAATTTTATTATATATTGGTGTATTGCATTATAAATTGTAAACAAAATTTTTATATATAACACCAATTAAAACAAATATTTTTTATCATAAATTTGTTAAGACTGCATTCTGAAAATAAGGCCACCTGTTGAAATACATAATTTCATTACATTCAAGAAATAAATCTTTGTTGAAAATGCAAATTATTTTAAAATTTTAAAAATTCCATTGATTTTAAGAACAATTTGTTTTAGTTATACTTAGATTGTACCATCTTAACTTTATAAGCCTGCTTTCACATAAACTTGTTTTCTTAGGGGAGCATTTGATGAATGATAGATGGTAAACAGTCTGTCATTAGTGGATGTTCAGCTCATCCAAGTAGTGTGTAGTAGGATTGAGGAAAGGTTTTGGGCTAGCCTTTTAAGGTTCTTGACCTCTGCATTCCATGTACCACCGTGTATCTCTATATTTGTGCTGTCACTATTTCTTTAGCAGTTAACAGAAACTCAATTGTTAACTGAAAATGAATAATCAGTTCCCTTGTAAAACTTGGTTTGTTCATTCTGCTGGCAACTGTGGTTGCACCGTGGACAGAATTCTTGAAGAGATGGTTAAATGACCAATAGGTGTTGGCCATATTTAATGGACAGTCCGTAACTGGCAAGTGCCTGCTTGTTAAAAAGTTTTGTGGTCAATCAATGTTCCAATTTATTCCAGTGATATTCAATGAGGTGTGCAGTAAGACGTTGGACCAGCCAGTTCAGCTTTTTTACATTGGCATGATTTCAAGTCATGCATCTGGAGACCTTCCATTGTTGAGCTGAAACAAGAATTTATTCCAAACTGTTGCCATAATGTGGAAAATAAACAGTGTGTTGGTTTATGTCAGTGCAATGTCCAGTGTCAGAAACTATTACATAACAATCACTGTATTTTGGTGTTATTTATGTATAAATAAAATTTGATACAAATACATATTATCAATGTAGAAGGTAGTTTTCTTATTTAAATATATAAAATAGGCATAGAACTTTCATTAGTATAATGTGCTGTGGTATAAAATAAATCTGTTTTCTTTTAGAAGTGGAAAAAAGACATCTAAGTTTTGGCCTTCTCATACACATCATCATACATCTCATACACATCATACATAACAATAAAGTATGCAATCATATTTTTATTTTGTGAAAATTTTAATTAAAAGTATAAATTTTCAGAGCTCACCTGTAAAAGAGTTAGGTGATGAGTCTCTTAAAAAGGATAAAAAGAAAAAGAAGGGTCTTCGCACGCCATCATTCCTAAAGAAAAAGAAACACAAGAAGGAGAAGGAAGATAAGGAAAAGGTAGCATCATAAATGTGAAATAAGTACTGCCAAGGTAACTACTTTCAAATACCTTTCATATTAATAAACTTCTAAAGAACTTTTAGTTATATTTTTAATCATGTGGTTATAATAAATTTGTAAGAAAATTGCTGTCATTTCCATTCATTGTCACATGACTGGGCTTTTAGAACATGTCTTGGTTTTTCCTATTAGACTGTGAGGAGATTACTTCGTTTGAGTTTATTAAAATCAAACACAGCATTTTATTTGCTCTGTAACTTTCTTTAGATCTCATAACAAAAGGTGCTGTGCTTTTCACCCATCTATCATCTTTCAGCCATTGTAACTAATGCAGTAGTAACTTTTTCTCAATGCTGACACTGTCATGGAAAACACATCATCTGAGATAAGCAAGCTCTGTTGCATTTTAATCTCTTTTTTTTTTTCTTGTTATAAATGAATGGATTTGATAGCTGATTAAGAAAGCATTTACTGCATGCCAAAATACATTATCACCTGCAGGTAAAATTTCCAAATTTGGAAGTTTGCTTTCTGAAAGTTTACTTTGCAATTTTTTGCAGACTGTGCACATGGAAGTTCTTGTGTGGCTTTTATTTTTGCCAATCATAATTACAGACATACATTCAAATACAAAAATGCATATTCATTTTATTTTTAAAGAAATCGGTGTATTAAAAAGTTACTATTTACTTACTAAAGTCTAACTTCGATTGTGCATCTGTAGATAGATTGAATTAAAGTTCATACTCATTTTAAAACACCGAAACACCATCAACAAACTCCTTTCCAGTATAAGGCTAAAATACTTGATTTCAAAACTTATGGACTTTTTAGCACCAAAAAGTGTTTATAGCTTACCTCAAGGGTTTTAAAAATTATTTTTTTGTTTCATATAATGTCATTTTGTGATTTTCTAGTATGTAACGTTTTATAATTCTGTTATATGTGATATGCAGAAACATTTTTATACAATTCATAAGCTTCCAAATGCTAAATATATGTTAATATTTAGTACATGCAGTTTTATTACTTTAGTTGTCATAATCTGATTATCATATGAAAAAATTCATTCGACTAAAAATATTTTTCATTAATTTATGTGAATGATTGTGCAAGGTTGCCTGTGTGCCAGTGCTTTGAAACCTGGTGCTGTTTTGTAAAACACAAATTCTGTAAGTTTCTTTGAATAAAATTCCTTTTTGGAACAATTTGCATTGATGAAAATTTTTCATCACAGTTGTTTTATCAATTCATGTCATGAAATGTAACATCAAAAATCTTTTCTTAAATATATTGTAAATCATATAAGGTATCATATTTAGTTGCATATATATTTAAATATTTCACTTTCCATTTGGGGGTACAATCTGAATTTTCAAGACACGTTATCTCAGTATTCGATTATGTGGCAGTTGAACTTCTTGTTTTATTTTGTAGAACCTGTATGACGTTTTAACTAAATGTAGCTATATGGACTAGAAACCGTATAAAAAGTTAGATTTCATAATTTTTAAAAATTAGTGTTAATATTAAAATTAAAAAATGTGAATATTTGCCTTATTTCAAATATTAAAATTAAAAATATGAATATTTGCCTTATTTCAAATATTTTAATTGAAAGTATAAGTTTATAATGAATTGTTACAAAACTAAAGGTTTTCTAAAGACTTGTAAGGATTCGTAATAAAAAGAATTCTTTGTATATGTTATGTAATGCTTATTTTATATCTAAAAAAATGTATAAAACAAACCTAATGAATTTCCATCAGTTAAGGGGTAAGGGAGCTAAATAAGATAATTTTGTCACAGTTAAATGTACAGTGGACTTCTTTTCATTTCACATTGAATTTAAAGTATTAATTTGAAAGTTTAGACAGACAAAGGGAGTAGAAATTAAAGTTTCGGAAATCTTAAACTAATGTAATTTATTATCATTAATTCATTTTAAAATAGGTTTAAAAATAATACATGTATTGATAAAACATTTATTTCCTTCTATAGACATAATTTACATTATAGAAGTTTTTTCAATTAATATGCCATTTCTGTATGAACTGCAAGAATGACTTATTTTGGAATAGTGTATTATAAATGTATATTGTTAATGTTGTTAGTGTATTAGTTGTAGTCAGAGCCAGTGCTACCAGTGCAGTTGCTCAGCGTAGCTGAATTTAGAAGCAGCAGAATCTTTTGAATGTAGAGAAGTAGTGAACAGAAAATGTAGGAGTGAGAATTTTTTTTTTTTTTTTTTTTTTTTTTTTTTTTTTTTTTTTTTTAATATGAAGGAGTCAATTCATAGCAGAATTTACGGGTAGCAAAATTTTCGAATTTAGGGAGGCAATGGGAAATAATTTGGATCTGCAGAGATAGCATTGGGCTTCAAAATGCCTTGCCCCAGCCCTGGTTGTAGTATTAAAATACCTGTAAAATATGTGTATTATATATTTATTCAAAGTTTTATAAAGAGCATAATGTAGCACACGTAAATTTAAAGGAAAAGAATTATTCATTTTTTAAGCATTTCAGTTATAATTGAAATAATTAAAATCTCCTTTTATTATTTAGAAACCTGTCACTTTTCACAAGCACTTTCATGTAATGAAAATTCAAGTAGAAATAAGATTAAAAGAAAGGGCTTTCTTCATGGCTCTTTTGTGAAGTTTTGTTCAAGTTGAGATGTTTAAAAACTTATTTAATTTAATCCTAAAAGTTATAATACTGTGCTTCTTTATGTAAATAAAAATTTCTTCATAAGATAGAATGAATTAAATGTTATGGTATGGATGAGTTTAGATTTATATTCTTGATATAATTAGATAACTTACGTCTTGTAAGAAAGTAGTAATTTTTGGGTAGAGGGAATTGCTACATACATTGCTGGACAGTTGCTAAGGGAGATCTCAAATTGTAGTGTAGCATAACTTTAAGCAAGGATGGAAGCTAAGCAGGATAAAATGCCATTGCCACATTGTTTGGGCATTAAAATAAGACATTTATTGTTCAGGAAAATGCAGAAGGTTTTGAAACATCCAAAAGTAAAAAACATTTTCTTTTGATGCTGTGAAGGGGGAAATACATATGAAGGAACAGCAAGCACCTGTGAGAAGTGTCATTAGGTGATGTTTCTACGTGAAGTGTTATGCAACTTTGCATACATTGCATCGCAAAACATTATCCAGCAGCTGTTGGTAGAGTTGATCTTACTTCTCTGTCAGTGCAAAGATGAGCATTTTTTTCGTTGTTATTGTAGAATATTTTTTACCAGCAAAACACCAGCATCAAACATTTTCAGTGGGCTTTAAATCTGGAGGACAAACTGGCATTTCAAAGCATTGAATATTCTCACTGTCAGACAATCCTGAAGAACCAGTCTTTGATGGCATGGTATGTTGTTAATAATAATAAAAAATTAAAAAAAAAAAAAAAACCGCTTATAACCAGAAGTGCCACAGAGAAGGTGAACATGAAACTGTGAATTTATCTTTGGCCATTCATAGTCCCAGTTGCATCCACATGTAGGGGTATGCTGCCACTGATCGTGATGCCTGCCCATACCTTGATACTGCATCTTGGATATTGGTCCTTTTCTTGAATATTTTCTGGATAATAAGCAATACCATTTTCACAGCAGATTAGTTGGCATCCATATTATGGTTACAGACTGAACCTGTGTTTATTTGAGAATAGCACTCGAGCCCAGTCCAGGTCAGTCCATTTGCAATGCTCATAATACCATTGCAAACGGATAGTAGGACACACATAACAGGTCTATGGGCATATAGACCTCTTTCTCTCAAATGTCTGGCTACTTTTTTTTTTTTTTTTTTAGTGTTCTGCAATCCTGTGGCAGCAAGATATTAATTCGCCAGGTCCTGAACTTTGATGCACTGGTTTCTTTTTGCATGTAGAGCAATGTATCTGTCTCTTGCAGGCATCATACATTTAACATGGTTGCCATCATTATGCTATGAAGCAATGCTGTGGGCAGTGTTGAACTCCCGGGCAGCATCTTTTTTTTCCTTCACCCTTCTTCCAGTCCTTCCAATGGGCACGTGTAAAATTATCTAAGTGATGTTCAGAAGACAATGAAACTTTTGAGATGAGCCAATTAAATCTTTCTCCTAAAACTTCCACTTGGTACAGCAACCGCCTGCATGATTGAAATTCTTCGAATCTTTTATCAACGTTGTCACATGATGAACAGGCAAAGAAAGGAAAATCTGCAAAGGCACACCTTTTTTTTTATTGTATTCTGCACTATTTCCACATTTTGTGGTAGCTATTAGTTATAGTAGTTAGCAATTGCCTAGCAGTGTATGTATATATATAGAGAACCTCTGTGTTTTTCATTTTATTATTAGGATCATTATACGTAAGTTATTATTCTGGAATGTAGTTATTAATAATTTTAATGAAGTGTGTTAAAGATGAGTATTATAAGCTTTGGAAATAGATTGCATAAATTACTTTTATTCTTTCAGTATGATATTTCACATGTATAACTGCCAACACTTATTTACACTTTGGCTTGGTGCTGGATGTGACTGTATAACTTCATAATTTGAATGGCCTGCATCATGTTCAAAATGTGTGCTTCGGATTCAGAGATTCCATAGGTTATTCATCTAGAGATGAACTGAATAGTCACTTCAGCTTACTTCTTCCATTATGCTGGTGTGAACATTATGGGGTTTACTAATATGTCGCAAAAAAGTAAAAGTGATTGGCAAATACCCTGCTTCCTGTTTGTATTATGTCAAGAACCAATTATATTTTTCTTTTTTAAAACTTGAAAATATAGTCCCATATCTTTTTCTAAATATGTATACTTGATTTATATGTATTATAAGGTTGATTTTTTAAAGGAAAATATTTACTGATCCATGACAAAGTCTGTATACAAATTCTAGCTAAGTACTGTTTCTAATGAGTTTACTTATAAAGGATTCATTGAAACATTAGAGGCAGCTATATTAAAAATGAAATATTAAATAATTTATCCTTGTTTTGTAAAATTCCATGACCAGAATCAAGTTATATATTTAGTATGAAGAAAATTTTTGTTCTTTGTAATACTTTTTACTGTTTGCTAGCTTTTAACATTTTCTGCATTTAGTTTTTGTATCTTAACTGTATTATTTTGCAACTGAAACTTTCTCTGAGTTTTTAAGGTGTTTTTAAAATGTTTTGTGACTTGAAATGATTGGTAAATGTTTAGCAGAATTTGTCAGCATATGTGCCTGTATGTAAATAAAATTTTATTGATAATTTTGTTCTTTGTTATCAGTATATTTGTATTTTCTTGATGTAAGAAGATTAGTGTTTATTGAAATGTCAAAGGCTTTATATCAAGAGCTATCTTCTGACTATATTATCAGAACAGTCATTAATTGGCATGTGCTAGTGTTACGAGAGAGAGAATACTTTCTAGCTTTCTAGGAATGAAAAAGGTTGCTTTTGGGGAGAAAAAAAAAAAAAAAAAAAAAAAAAAAGTTGAAAGTATATTTTGCCACTTTTCGTGTAAAAAATGTTAAGCTATAAAAAATCAGCACCTCTATTTGTAATTAAAGGTAATTCCTCTGTGTTTTTATGAAGCCAAATTGTTAGGTTTAACTGTTCAAATTATTCTTATGACATATTTGTGCAATTTCATGTTAATTTTTTACACTTTGACATTGATCTTGTGTATTTCATCCATGATGAATTGTAGAATAAAATTTGGAGCATTCATCATTGTGCATGTTTTTCCCCCCTTTCTGTTTCAATAAAAATGAGTTAGTGAAAAATTAAGTTTGACATGTTTTATCTTAATCTAGTAATGTTAATAAATTTTGAAGTGTTACATATGCTTTTCTAACTGTTGCTATCCGTACATATAAGATTCATAATTTTAAATTATCTTGTTTGTGTGTTGCGTTTAAAAATGCAACCTTGCTAACAGAAAAAGTACCTTGGTTTTACACATTTTCTAAATTTTGCCTGTAATTAAGAGCATATATATTACCAACTGCTTTGTAACCCTCATAACTAATAGTTTGTATCTTTCATGAAATTTTGAAGGGAATTTATAAGCAATCAAAATTCAGTAGAGCATTTAAAACAGGAAATTGTTCCCGTTACTTAGAACAGCAAAAAATAAGCATCTTTACTTAGTAAGAACAAAACTTCTGGCTCTAAACTAACATTGCATTGGAACCCCCCCAAAAAAGATAATGCGTATTATTTTGATAGTCCTGATCCAATTATATTTGGTATTGCTTTGCTGTTTTCAACTGGATAGTCATGCTACTTCAGACTTTTAAGGGTTGTAAATGTGTGTGGAGCTAGGAAACTGCTATAATTATTATTGCAATAAAGATTGATGTAGTGCTAAATTTCATTCTTATTGTTTCAAGGTAAAAGTATTATGCTTTGATTCACAGAAAATGTAAAAGTGTGTAATTAAACCAGGCAAACTGAAATTCTATAGAACTGTGACATTAAAATGCGCCAAATGTAAATATTAAATTTAAAGTACTTAAAAATCTTTGTTATTGACGTTTGTGCTTTTCAGCAAAGAGGATTATATACTTTAATTTTTAAAACACTAATTCCTGACACTGAGATTTTAATAGTCATTCTGACGAATATTTTTGTGCTCATTTTTAAGCCCATGCTTTGTTGTGAAAAATTAAGCTCTAGTTTTTTGTATATTAAAAGTTTAAAAAAAAAGTTTTGTTTTCCTATCCATAATTTACACTCACACACACATCAGCCTTTGTGGTAATTTAGAGAAAGATACTAAATAAAAAAAAAAAAAAAGTATTATTGCTTTTTTTATGTGTGTCCATTGAATATTGAAATTAAAAATATTATAGCTGCAGCAACAGATGTTTTTATCTAATAGTAATTTGACACAAAAATACTCACTGGCATGTTGATAAGCTAAAAGAAATAAGACTGTATTGTGTTTGGCCAGTATCTAACTTTTAGCTAAATAGAAATTTAACAATTCAGCTTACATTACTTTATTTTCCATATTTGTCGCTTTTGGTACGTGGAGTCATTGAAATCTCAAATTTCATGAAGTTCATGGCAGTTTTTTGAACATTTATATTTAAAAGCTTGGGACACGTCCCTAATAACTCTCATAACCTATACAATCCTGAATACACACTGCCTATAAAACTTCTTGTACTACTTTTGCTAATAGACATACATTTCCATTTGCAAAGAGTTTTAAAATGATGCAAATGTTCGAATTAAATTATTTTTAAAAGTAAATTTTAAAATGTGACATTTTATATGGTAAAAGTTATTAAAAACTATATAAAAAGCTTTAAAAGTTTATATAGAGAATGAGGTAGTCACGTCAGAAAATAGTGACTGGGACCAGAATTTTACCTCCTCCTTTTGGTTTAAACCTCTGTTTTACTATACCATTTTTCAATTCTGAATTTTTGTAAGGTTTTGATATTGCATATCTAAATTCAATGACTTTATTACAGTAGCAGTATGGATATGATAATATTCATGAGGACTGTCATATTTTATAGGGATTTTCTGTTTTAAAGAAGGATTTGACTGTAGAATAATTTCTGGGCTGATGTTCCTTTTTTTATCAATTTATGAAGCTCCTTATGCCAGATGCAAATGAATGCTTTTGCCATACAAGTGTATGTAGTGCAATGCATCTTTTGTTGCTTTGGGTAAACTCATTTAACCTTATTAACTTTTGTGGTTATGGATAATTTTTTCCCTTGAACCTCAGTTGTTTGCATATCAAGAGAAGTAAACTTTCGGTGCTAAGATGAGTATTTTATGAATGTTTCATAGTACCCAGAGTAAATTTGGGGTTTAAGCTTTTAGGTTTAGCTGTGTTTCTTCCAAGTCTGAGAAATATGTAGACATTAGTGTATTATCAGGATCTTGAAATAATTATTTACAAGGTATAACAATGCTTGTAAACTTGGTGATTGTATTATTGGTAGTGCTCTATAGCTCAAGAACTTTCCTAGACTTTAGTTTCTTACAGGAAGAGGATTTACATTGGACACATCAAGCCAGGAGTGAACTTCTTTAATCTCTTTGGAAACTGAGGTCAGCTGGTGTTAGTGAGATGAAAATTGCTGCTTTATCTTCACTGGAGTATGCAACTTTTTGTTCTTGTAATGGATGTTTGCATGCATATGCATCAGAAATACTACCCTTTGTTATTAAACCTTTATCATTACAGAACAGATTTATCACATGCCCCAGATGCAGTGAAATTGCAGTCGTTTGAAGATGGATTTAGACCACAAAGGGCACATTGATATACTTAAATATATTTCATATATACTTAAATTGATATACTTAATATATTTGATACACTTAAATTGATATACTTAAATATATTTCAGATATACTTAAATATATTTCAGTTGCACTTCCATCTCCAATCAGCTGGCATTCGAGAAGGGACCTTACTCATTTACAGTGCTTCTTTTCTGGATGATTTTGTTAACCTTAAGATGAGAAAAGTTTGCTCCTCTAAAGTCGTGTATGGACACAAAACTGAAAATGGTCTCATAGAGGTACAGGGGCTGGAGGATTGGAGAATTTCCTTTAAATCGATTTTATTGAAGTACTACATACCTGAATAATAAAGTCATATGGTCCACATTACTTTAAACAGATGAACTTCAAAAAGGTGTGATACATATAAGTAGGTTATTTACAGTGCTTCTACTCTAGATGATTGCTTTTGTTAACCTTAAGATGAGAAAAGTCTACTCCTCTAAAGTCGTGTGCGAACACAAAACTGAAAATGGTGTCTTAGAGGTACAGGGACTGGAGGATTGAAGAAGTTCCTTCGAATCCGTTTTATTGAAGCCCTACATACCTGAACGATAAAGGCCACATTATACGGAATGCCGCGGTAATGCTTCTTAGCATTATCGTACGTTAAGTCTGAATGGAAAGGATTTGATAATTGTAAGCTAAAGAAAAATTGATGAAAGCATTGGCCATGTTTGTAACCTTTAAATTGGAGTTGGATTAAGCAGATAAATGGCAAAAAGCTGTGATACGTATAAGTAGGTAATTCTAGCACTAAAGTATTGGTGTTTTACCAATGTGAGTTTACTGGCAGAGATGAGTTAAATATTGGCGATTCATCTTTTGTTTAGTATGTGTTTGGTTTCTGGAAATTTGAACGGAATAAGTGATCAAGTTTATTAACCAGTGAATGTAATAATCAGTGGGTACTGTACATATAATGGTAAAAAATTTTCTGAAGGATGGAATGGTTTCTCTATCACGGGTACATGTTAAAAGGGTAAACGAATAATAGGGAAGGACCCATATATGATCATTGTTTATATTATATGTGATTTTTTACACTTTGAGAAAATGTTTAAAACCGTTTGTTAGTAGTTGATAAAGGATCGAATGAGGACACATTTAAGCATACAGTCAAAAGTCGTTAATTTGGACACCCATAATCCGGAATGATCTATAATCCGGACCTCAAAGCTACAAACTTTCTGCGCATGCGTCGGGTTGACGCATGCTCGTAAGACCTTTACGGCTGCGAATATGCGCGTGCGCAAAATACGTTTACGAATGCACGTTTAAATGTATAACGGACGGTATAAGCTAAGCTAAAATTATCTAATTCAGTTAATGTTGCAGATTGCGTTGTTCTTTAATCTTCGAATTGGAATCGGCTTATTATTTTTTGCAGACTGTTAGAGCAATTTTATAAAAGTAAGCTTGAACTTTCGATTATGTCAAATAGAATTTCTGATATATATTTACTAATATGTAAAGGATCTACAAAGCGAAAGTATGTTTCAAAGTCCATTAAACAAAAAGTGGAATTGCTGCGAAAAATGGATAAAGGCATATCCTTTGTTTATCTTTAACGTCGCGGCGCGCAATGAATTGGAAGTTGATCTGTCAGCACTATCCTTATCTTCAGGGCAGATGTTTTTATTTTATTTGGCTCATAATTCCTTACTAAATGTAGTATTTCATCTCGATGTACTCCGTCTATGATTTAAATCAAGTTCCTCGTCATTATAATTTGCTTCCGATAGTGAAGAAAGTGACACAGTAGTTATTGAAAACGAAAAAATTTCGATTGACAAATTAGTCGGTATTCTCGACACAGCAATTATAGGACTTGAACAGCGGAACTTTGTAACTGAACAAGAAATTTTGTCTGTTTATAGAATTAAAGAGAATGTATTATCACATAAAAAACGAAGCAACTTAAACAACTTGCATTGAAAGAAATGTTTAATAAAGTAAACAAATAAATATTAAGCTTTTTTTTTTTTGTAAATTTTGATACCCTTTAGATCATAAGTGTTCTTTATTTCATAAATTACGGTTTCATATTTTTAATTTTATAATTTCTGCATGCCATCTTACCAGATTTAAACTGATGATCTATAATCCGGAATCGCCGAAGTCCCGACGAGTCCGGATTAACGACTTTTGACTATATTATAAACTATCTAGTTTT